TTCCCCCCACCATCGCGCAGATGCTGCTGGTGCTGGAGGTGCGTGATTCGGTGTGGGGGGGCAGTGGGGGGCAGGGGCGGCGGAGGGCGCTGGCGGCATAGGTCGTCTATGTCGCCAGCGAACACCGCTGCACCACCACTCCTCCCTTCGCCTCGGCTCTCCTGCTTGTCACTGAACTTAAGAGTTTGGCTTGGGGGGTGGGGGGGTGTGGGTGGGGGGAGGGGCTTTCCAGGGAAACAACACTGGACAGCGAACCACAGAAGGAATGCATTGCATGATGAAGAAAAAAAGGATTGTTCATTAATAAATGTATTTTCTTCTTTGGTTCTTTCGGTAAAGTCACGTAGAATGAGAATAAAATAATAAATTGATAAAATAAAATAACATAACACTAATATTCTCACGACGTTTCGGCCACAACACAAGCGGCCTTCATCAGGTGAAGGGACGAGACTGTCTGGTAGGACAGCGCTGGAGTGATCGAAATGTATTTTCGTATGAACAATATAAACGTTACCACCGTTCTTGGTAGTGCTGCGTATGCTACCAAGAAAGGAGTGTGCATGTTTAAGGGCAGGCCGACTCTGCCACGCCGGGGAGCACAGGTGGCGCATCTGCCCTTCGTCTCGGTCGGTCAACACTCCGCACACTTTGGGTTTGTCTCATCACGTGGCCTCGGCGTGCACCGATCCTGACAACGACCAATACCAGGCCGTGTGTGCGCTCGCGTACGCGGATAAATCTTGCGTGGGCGGAGCGGTGGTTGCAGGGGTTAGCGCGCTGCTCCACGAACCCGGCCAGACCCGAGTTCGATTCCCGCTCACGGCCAACACCACAGACGATCATCTGCACCGGTAATGGGCGTCCCCTAGGTCGACTCGGTCTCAAATGAGCACCCGGTGCGGTTTGTAAAAACATCGCCAACCGGGAGTAAACAAAGGCGGCCGGCCGGCCCCCCTTGCCGTGTACCCGCGCCGGCCTTCATACGCGCCGCTACTCGCTAAGGGCACTTGCCCCGACAGTCCGTCCGTCGAGGCTAACGCGGGGTCTGGGTGGTGGGGGCGTTTGTCTCCCGCAGAGCGTCCACGAGCCCCAGGCCCCTACGAGCGAGTACCTGCAGCTGGAGGCGCTGATCCCGCGCGTCGTCTCTTCGTACCTCGGCACGTTCGGCACGGTGCACGCCGGTGGGGATCTTGCCGAGCACTCGGTGTGCCTTCTCGGTGAGCGCCCCCCCCCCGCCTCCGATGGACGGATGGACACGCACGACGGAAACTTCTCCGACGGAAACTTAACCTTCTTACTTTGTGGTGTGACCTTGATACGGCTGTGGTTTAACGAAGGGACTGAAGTTTTTTTTGGTTTAAGTGCATATCAAGAGTCTGTTGAGGCCCAGAAGTCATCATCATCGCGATCCATGGGAAGATAAGGCCCTAGGTGTCCACTACACATTTCGTCATTTGTTTCCACTTTTATTCTGTCTTGTGCCACATCTTGTTGGCACAAATCGCTCCTATCGTCCTCAAGCCGTTCTCTGTGAGGTCTTCCTCTTTCCCATTCTTTACATTTTTCCGAACAACAACAACACTTTTAATTTTCCTGTTGTTGTCCATCCTACTACTACTCCGTGTGTCTAAAGAGTGCCACTTTGCTTTCTCATCACCGCCTGCAATCAGCAACTAGAAGGATCTCTTAATATTATTTTTTCTCTTTCCCTATCTCTCGCCCTCGTCTATTTCCCTCCAAGGGAGACCCTGGGTTAATTGTGCATACATCGTACACAGCAATGGTGCAATTGCAACAAATCATAACGCAGAATTCAGGTTTCCCCCCCCTCCCCACCCCCTGCTCCCTCCGTTTAATTTTTCAGCACTGAGATGTAGTGCCGTAATGTTCTTGACATCCCCAGCTGCCCCTGCCAGCTTCGTCTGGTCACAAAGTTAGTGCGTATGCACAACTCGGATTTATCGCGAGCGGTTCTGCCAAAAGCACGGTTCGCGTTTTGGCGGATGGAGACGTTTCCATCTGGCGGAGTGTTTTGGCCAGATGTTAACCACCAATCTGCCAAATCTGCCAGCGTGTGAATCATGCGTGTTGTTAGAAAAAACAAAACCCATTAAAAATAACACTGACATTGGAGTCGAACTGCAGTGGCTGGCACTCGGCTGCATTATACAACTCAAGTTAGTCTGCGACGACATTCCTTTGATGATTTTACTTACAATGGACAAAGGGTCGATTAAGTGTAACTGGACGGACACGGTTTAGTGGTTAGAGCAGTGAAACTCTTGACGCGCCAGCTCCTGAATTTTAATTCTGATCACGATTGACCTAGTTTCACTCTTCTTAGTGTCATCATGAAGATGGTGATCATTGTTGTCATCATCCTCATCAGTCATTACCATCGTATCCTCACAGCATCATCGCCATCATCGCCACCATCTGACCTCCCAAGCCAAACATCGATAGCCTGCCGTTGACCCAGCACACTAAATTCACACCGTCTCCCGTACTCGCACACACTCGCGTTCGCGTTCCGTCCCGCAGAGAAACGCTTCTCCTGCCGTCCTCCCAAGATCTCGCCGCCGGCCGGCTCGCCCACCGTCAAGAACGCACCGCCACGCTCCTGGAGCCACAACGGCCACCCGCTGGGGCCTCTGCCGGAGACCGAATGCGACACGGGGGCGGCGGCGCAGATCTTCCCGCCAGGGGACGGCACTGCCGGAGAACCCGACCGCGGGCCGACCCTCGGCGAGGCCGCCCGGGGCCCGGACGCGAGCGGCGACGCCGCCGTCGCCCCCGATGCCGTCGTGCAGAGCCTCGTGAAGAGCCTCAGCGAGTCCGAGATCGCCGACAAGCCGACGGCCAAGCTGGAGGCGTGCTGCTCCTTCGCGCAGGACCTCAAGTCGCTGGAGATCTGCCGCGCCGAGCAGAGCGTGTCGGTGCCCGACTTCCTGGTGCCGTCCTTCTCCACCGCCCAGCAGGAGCAGCTGCTGGGCGCCTTGCACGAGCGGGCGGCCGACCACCTGGCCAAGGGCTCGAGCGCCTCCGACGCCGCCTTCCCGGGGCTCTCCGAGCTCCCAAACTCCGCGGGTTCGCGACCCGCGCCCAGGGACGCGCGCGACTACGGCGGCGTCGGCGGCGGCGTCGCGGGCGGCGGCGGCGGCGGCGGCGGCGGCAGCAGCGAGTACAGCGGCCTCGGCGTACCGGAGGGCGGCGGCCGCAAGTCGCCGTCGCCCTACGCGCCCGCCACGCCGTGCCATCTGCACCAGCGCGAGCTGAGGGCGGCGGGCCCCGCGCTGCCCTACACGGTTAGCGAGCCCATCCTGCGCGGCGGCCGCGATTTGGCGGCGTGCGGAACTTGGGACTCGAGCACGCCGAGTTCCGGGACCTCTGAGGAGCGACGGTGTGGCGGCGCACCGCCAGTTTGCGAGTTTGAAGCGAGATGAAACTCTTCCCCCCCCAACACACACCACGCCCGAGCCAAAAAAATTACGCCTCTTATCTCAGATATCTATCCAGGCTGTATGTTCTGGGTTGTTTGAAGTGAAGATTTTGTTTGCGTATTTGTTTATTCAAATTTTCCGTGCGCTGTGTATACCATTGCATGCACAGTTGGAGCTGGATATAAGCAGTTCCGTTGGGAACAAGGCGAACTGTGCACCAGGGTAACATAAGCACGTGTTGCTTATATTAGAACTGTGCTTATATCAAACTTCTATCGCAGAGCGACGCACCAGCTTCGTAATGGCACCCCTGTGGTGGCACTGTATCGTGAATTGACGAGGTTCCTGAGAGTCGATTCAAAGTAGTGTTGTGTTTTTGTTGTTGTCTCATTGACGAAGCTTTCAAGCACAGCCGTTGTGTTGTGTGTAGCTTCAAGATGAGAGCTGTTCGTTGTTGGGTTACGTCTCCCGCTGAGAATGGCCCAGCTGTGAATGGCCCGAGTCACAGAAAGCCAGAAGTGCCCAGCGGGTCAGCCTGAAAGGATGGACTTTGAAAGTTAACACGATTTAATGATTAATTATGATTTTTTTTTTTGCTCACGACGGCTCGCGAGCGTCCTTAATAATTTCACGAGTGGCGCAGCTCCACCGACGCGTTCCCCTCGGGTTTGTCCCGCGCGTCGTGCCGGGACCTTCTCCGGGACAACCGAATTCCTCCGGTGGAACAGCGGCGCGGTACGAGTCCAGGCAAATGCCATGGGAGAGCCGTGCGTACTGCACGGCCGCGGGAAACCTGCCACAAGACGCCACAACGTTAGAGGGCAGTCCCAAGGCCGCGGTTAACATTATTAGGCATTTCAATCGCTTCGCTTTTTTTAAAAGGAGGACTTGGCATCTGCGGCGTCAACAAATAAACGTTTACTCCTGAGAAATAACCCCCGCCTCCACTTCTCCGTCCTGAGGCTGCGTCGCTCGGCACGGTGGGCTATGTACGGTGTGAAAGAAGTTCAACATGCACACACTCTTACTGTACCTTAACACAAGCCTCCTGCCATACAGGAAATCCTATCACCGGTGGGTGGGGTGTTGGAGGAGGGTAAAAGGCAGTCTAAGTTTCGTTCTGTCTCGCAGTACTGAGAACTGAAGAGATGCATTCACATTGTTTTTCATAGCCGTGTCTGAGCAGAGGTCCCAAAGGGCTCCCAAACTCCCGATCGACCAGCAAACAAACGGACGGCATCGGAATCTTTATTTTGTGCTGGAGGAATGCGATGAGCTCCAAACGCTCTTTCAGTTCCGCGCACATAAGTCAGGTCGACAAGACGTAGCGATCTGGCGCACGCGCGCTCTGGACACGTAACAACAACATCAATCAGTTTAACACGTAGGCTTTCGCGACCAATATTATTCATAATAAAGGTTTTTGGGTTAGATCGCGTTTATTTATAAATGTGTCGTAACCCTCCACCACCCGACACGGCCAATCAGCAAAAAAAGTGTCACGTTGACAAAAGACAAATAATTCACTACTTCAGCCCACCGGTGTGTTGAAGAGTTAATCCACATTTACAGTTTGAGTACGACGTTTCGCTGGTAAATACTTCCAGCATCATCGGGCAATTCGCCAGAATGGTAAAGCCCTCGCTTGCTCCCGGTTTTATATAGAGCAGCAGGGTGACGTCATCACTTAACTCATCAGGTGCAGTGATTAGAGGCGGAGGGGGGGGTAATGTAATTATATAATCGATTAGTAATCAGTCATTGGTTATGATTAGTAATGAGTTGTAGATTAGTAATTCTTTAAATCAAAATGTAATGTGTATTATTTAATAATACGCTTCCATGGCCGCACTAAGCCGGTAGCTGTCAGAGCGATTAAAGTTATTCTTGTTCCTCTCAATTTCAATGGATTCTCTAATTAGTCTTTGCCAGTAATAATTAGTTTTACACACCACTGCAACATTGTCAAAATCAATTGAGTGTCCTTGTTGACAAGCATGTTCTGCCACTGCCGACAGTTGTGTTTGAGATAATTTAATATTTCTCTGATGTTCTTTTAGTCTTACGCTGATGTTACGTCCCGTCTGCCCAATGTAGCAGCTGCCACATGAACAATTAATCCGATATACACCTTCTGTTGATAGTTTAGGTAATGCGTCTTTAGTGCAAGATACTAGTTTTTGAATTTTGTGTACTGTACCAAATCTTACTGTAATGTTTTGCTTTTGCAAAACGCGGGCTAATTTGTCAGTTACTCCTGAGATATATGGAATTTTTATTGTTTTAACAATCTGGTCGCTTTTAGTAGTATTGCTTTGCGATCGTGATTTGGCATTCAGTGCTCTGTTAATTTGAGTATTATTGTAGCCATTCTGTCGTAGTGCGTCTTTAACGTGTTTAATCTCTCTCACTAGACTCTCACCATCTGACACCGTTTTCGCCCGATGTACGAGCGTCTTGATAAGAGAGGATTTTTGAGCTGGATGATGATGTGATTCTGCATTCAGATAGGCATCAGTGTGCGTTTGCTTTCTGTAAACGCTGTGTGTTATTTTACCGTTTAGGCCATGTCCAAGCAAAATATCTAGGAATGGGAGTGTGTTATTCACCTCCATTTCCATGGTGAACTGGATGGCCGGGTTTTGTGCATTGAGATGATTTAGAAAATCATTAAGTGTATCTTTACCATGTGGCCAGACAACCAAAGTGTCATCCACATACCTAAACCAAAAGGATGGTTTTAATGTGCTCGAGGCAAGTGCTCTTATTTCAAAGTTTTCCACGTACAAATTTGCTATAGCAGGGGATAAAGGAGAACCCATTGCTGCTCCTTCCTTTTGTTTAAAGAAATCCCCTCTCCATAAGAAGTAAGTGTTATTTAAACAATGGCCAGCAAGTTTCGGAATATCTTTTTGTAAACCGGTATTCTTTACTAGTGTATCAAGTAATTTAAGCGATTCGTCCACTGGAACCTTAGTGAATAGAGAAATAACATCAAAACTTACCAGAATATCATCAGGAGTAAGTTTAATATCTTTAATCACATTCACAAGATGTTCTGATTTTTTTATGAATGAAGATGTCTTACCGATGTAGGGCTGTATTTGTTTGGTTATATATTTTGCCAATTGATATGTGGCAGAGCCAATTGTACTGACTATGGGTCGTAATGGGATGCCGATTTTATGAATCTTTGGTAGCCCATAGAGTCTAGGTGGTTTTGAGGCCCTTGGCTTAATTAGGTATTGCTCATTTATAGGGATTAATGAATTTGCAATTATTGCAGTGGTCTTACGTTCTAAAGTATTAGTTGGATCTCGTTTCATTTTAATGTAGGTACTTTCCTCTAGTAAATTTCTAATTTTATTATCATAATCGGCTCGTGACATCACTACAGTAGTGCGGCCTTTATCAGCTGCTAGGATTTGGATATCCTTATTTACACGCAGCTCTCTTAAGGCTTTTGCCTCGTTAGAGCTAATATTTACTTTTGGAACTTTGCTATTCTCAATTATTTTAGCAACCTCATGTCTAGTCATCTCTGCCTCATTATGTGGAAGGAGTCTAACTGCTGATTCTACCTCAGCAATTATCTCATCCACTGGAATTGTGCTTGGGGTAACGGCAAAGTTAAGGCCTTTAGAAAGGATAGAGACCATGTCACCGGTTAATACAGTGTTGGTCAAGTTCAGTACAGTTTTGTTTTTACATTTTTGGTTTTCAGTAGGGATTTGTTTATTTTTGTAGTCTAGAAAATTTATTAATTTGGTTAGTTTTTGTTAGTTTAAACACATTATCAGCCGATTGTTGTGTTATGTTATCGATTATATTCCAATAATGCATAGATACACTATTGCTTATATCTAAGTGTAACTGCTTTAGCGATTCCGAAATGTAAGATAATTCACTCCTATTGTGCTGTATTCTCTCTATTAATAATAATTCGCTAGCTTTGTGTAGTATTTGGTTAGCTTTAGAAGACTTTATGTGATGTGTTATTTTAACTGCGTTTGGTATTACCTTTGAATCTCTGCACCTTTTGAGGAACGCCAGTGAAGATATCAATTTCATCCGCTTAATGCGAAGCTTCTCCAATTTTCTGGTTTTAAGAAAAGTATCCTCCCCATAGAGGTTAGTCAGTTTAACACGTAGGCTTTCGCGACCAATATTATTCATAATAAAGGTTTTTGGGTTACGACACATTTATAAATAAACGCGATCTAACCCAAAAACCTTTATTATGAATAATATTGGTCGCGAAAGCCTACGTGTTAAACTGACTAACCTCTATGGGGAGGATACTTTTCTTAAAACCAGAAAATTGGAAAAGCTTCGCATTAAGCGGATGAAATTGATATCTTCACTGGCGTTCCTCAAAAGGTGCAGAGATTCAAAGGTAATACCAAACGCAGTTAAAATAACACATCACATAAAGTCTTCTAAAGCTAACCAAATACTACACAAAGCTAGCGAATTATTATTAATAGAGAGAATACAGCACAATAGGAGTGAATTATCTTACATTTCGGAATCGCTAAAGCAGTTACACTTAGATATAAGCAATAGTGTATCTATGCATTATTGGAATATAATCGATAACATAACACAACAATCGGCTGATAATGTGTTTAAACTAACAAAAACTAACCAAATTAATAAATTTTCTAGACTACAAAATAAACAAATCCCTACTGAAAACCAAAAATGTAAAAACAAAACTGTACTGAACTTGACCAACACTGTATTAACCGGTGACATGGTCTCTATCCTTTCTAAAGGCCTTAACTTTGCCGTTACCCCAAGCACAATTCCAGTGGATGAGATAATTGCTGAGGTAGAATCAGCAGTTAGACTCCTTCCACATAATGAGGCAGAGATGACTAGACATGAGGTTGCTAAAATAATTGAGAATAGCAAAGTTCCAAAAGTAAATATTAGCTCTAACGAGGCAAAAGCCTTAAGAGAGCTGCGTGTAAATAAGGATATCCAAATCCTAGCAGCTGATAAAGGCCGCACTACTGTAGTGATGTCACGAGCCGATTATGATAATAAAATTAGAAATTTACTAGAGGAAAGTACCTACATTAAAATGAAACAAGATCCAACTAATACTTTAGAACGTAAGACCACTGCAATAATTGCAAATTCATTAATCCCTAAAAATGAGCAATACCTAATTAAGCCAAGGGCCTCAAAACCACCTAGACTCTATGGGCTACCAAAGATTCATAAAATCGGCATCCCATTACGACCCATAGTCAGTACAATTGGCTCTGCCACATATCAATTGGCAAAATATATAACCAAACAAATACAGCCCTACATCGGTAAGACATCTTCATTCATAAAAAATTCAGAACATCTTGTGAATGTGATTAAAGATATTAAACTTACTCCTGATGATATTCTGGTAAGTTTTGATGTTATTTCTCTATTCACTAAGGTTCCAGTGGACGAATCGCTTAAATTACTTGATACACTAGTAAAGAATACCGGTTTACAAAAAGATATTCCGAAACTTGCTGGCCATTGTTTAAATAACACTTACTTCTTATGGAGAGGGGATTTCTTTAAACAAAAGGAAGGAGCAGCAATGGGTTCTCCTTTATCCCCTGCTATAGCAAATTTGTACATGGAAAACTTTGAAATAAGAGCACTTGCCTCGAGCACATTAAAACCATCCTTTTGGTTTAGGTATGTGGATGACACTTTGGTTGTCTGGCCACATGGTAAAGATACACTTAATGATTTTCTAAATCATCTCAATGCACAAAACCCGGCCATCCAGTTCACCATGGAAATGGAGGTGAATAACACACTCCCATTCCTAGATATTTTGCTTGGACATGGCCTAAACGGTAAAATAACACACAGCGTTTACAGAAAGCAAACGCACACTGATGCCTATCTGAATGCAGAATCACATCATCATCCAGCTCAAAAATCCTCTCTTATCAAGATGCTCGTACATCGGGCGAAAACGGTGTCAGATGGTGAGAGTCTAGTGAGAGAGATTAAACACGTTAAAGACGCACTACGACAGAATGGCTACAATAATACTCAAATTAACAGAGCACTGAATGCCAAATCACGATCGCAAAGCAATACTACTGAAAGCGACCAGATTGTTAAAACAATAAAAATTCCATATATCTCAGGAGTAACTGACAAATTAGCCCGCGTTTTGCAAAAGCAAAACATTACAGTAAGATTTGGTACAGTACACAAAATTCAAAAACTAGTATCTTGCACTAAAGACGCATTACCTAAACTATCAACAGAAGGTGTATATCGGATTAATTGTTCATGTGGCAGCTGCTACATTGGGCAGACGGGACGTAACATCAGCGTAAGACTAAAAGAACATCAGAGAAATATTAAATTATCTCAAACACAACTGTCGGCAGTGGCAGAACATGCTTGTCAACAAGGACACTCAATTGATTTTGACAATGTTGCAGTGGTGTGTAAAACTAATTATTACTGGCAAAGACTAATTAGAGAATCCATTGAAATTGAGAGGAACAAGAATAACTTTAATCGCTCTGACAGCTACCGGCTTAGTGCGGCCTGGAAGCGTATTATTAAATAATACACATTACATTTTGATTTAAAGAATTACTAATCTACAACTCATTACTAATCATAACCAATGACTGATTACTAATCGATTATATAATTACATTACCCCCCCCCTCCGCCTCTAATCACTGCACCTGATGAGTTAAGTGATGACGTCACCCTGCTGCTCTATATAAAACCGGGAGCAAGCGAGGGCTTTACCATTCTGGCGAATTGCCCGATGATGCTGGAAGTATTTACCAGCGAAACGTCGTACTCAAACTGTAAATGTGGATTAACTCTTCAACACACCGGTGGGCTGAAGTAGTGAATTATTTGTCTTTTGTCAACGTGACACTTTTTTTGCTGATTGGCCGTGTCGGGTGGTGGAGGGTTACGACACATTTATAAATAAACGCGATCTAACCCAAAAACCTTTATTATGAACAACATCAATATTCTTGGTCCTTTCGGTAACGTCACGTAGAAGGGAAACAATAAAATAAAAAAATATAAAACATATTTGTATTATTTTATTGTTTCCCTTCTATGTGACTTTACCGAAAGAACCAAGAATATGAATCCCTGCAGTTACGAAAGCTTTAAATCAAAACAACATCAATGTGAATCCACTTGACGATCGGGGCGTTATATTGAACATGCTTCACCACGCCGGCCGGTGTGGGTTTGTGAAGCCGGGGCGCCGTAGACGTTCTGTCGTGTGCAGTACAACAATGTGTTTTGCCGCACTGGCCTCTGACATCACACCACGTGGCTCCGCGGCATATCGATATTAACGCCCGTCATGCATGGAGGTCGTCCATCCAAGCGATACCCAGGCTCAACCCGGCTTGGCTTTCAAAATCTGACGAGATTGGAACGTATTCCAGGTGATGTGGTCACAGGCACGAGACGAATGCTTAAGAATAAACACTCCCAATCCCATGCCAGGTTTGGGATTGTCATTGTTTCGGTAATCAGTAACGTCACCAGAAATGCAATGTATGCTTTGTTTAACTTCTTTCGCACCCTACGTAGGCAACCATGCTCATCGGAGATGCGGGGAAGGACCACGCAACATTTTAATTCACAAAACCCGCTTGCTGAAATTAAGGAATGTCGCAATGAAATCTCAAGACACTATTCGCGAGGAGGATTCCTCCGAGAGGAGCTTTATTTGGCGTTGGGGGAGGAATCTTCAGAGTGCCCAGGGGGGTAAAGAACGGAGGTCTCCACAGACGGGTTCACAAACCCACTTGCTGTACGAGCTGCCTCCCAAGCCCGGCCGGATTTGAAGCGTCGCAATTCAGCGTGATCCACCGACACTTCCTTCCAAAGCGCTGACGCACAAGCCCCCCCCCCCCCCCCACATGCTGACGCAGTGTGTGGGTAACTGTTTTCGCTCCTGGGCCTCCCCTAGGTCGACTGGGCCTCAAACGAGCACGTGGTGCGGCGTGTAAACGTCGCAGCTGGGGGAGACGAAAGGCGGCCAGGGCGTGGTGCTGACCACACCGCCCCCTCGTGTGCCGTGCCGGCCTTCATAGGGTGCTCGCTAGCAGCACTTGCCCCAACAGTCTGCTAAGACTGTATGGGGGGGGGGTCTTTGTAAGGTTGGGGCTAGATGTCGACGATTGCCCTTGACTGGTTGTTGGTGGCGGTGGCCGACAGGTGAATTGGTGCACTGCCAATGTAATATTTTGCGTAATGAGTGCACCCAGAGTATTTGTGTTTATAACAAACAAAAAATTGCAATGTGTGTCGTGTAACCACATGACAGTATATTCTCTCTGCATTCGTCATCAACCACGATCCATCCACTGCCGAATGAAGGCCTCCCCACGACATTGCCAACTCGCGCGGCGGTCCCGTGACGTGACGATTCGCCTTGCTGCTGCTGCACGCGCGCCGATTTCACCGCTCCACGTCCTCGGTGTCGGTGCTCTCGGGCGCCTTTTCTGCTTTCGCTACCATTCCTTCGCCCGTCTCGTTCATTTGCCGGCATCCTTTCTAGCCGTGCCCTGCCCCCCAGGTCCGATAAATTACTTCTCCAAACACCAAACTGAAACCTTTTGCAAGGAATTGTCTGCATTAACCACATATAAATTTTGATTTAAAGCTTTTCGTGACTGCAGGGATTCATATTCTTGGTTCTTTCGGTAAAGTCACGTAGAAGGGAAACAATAAAATAATTAAAATATAAGACAATACAATTCTCACGACGTTTCGACTGCAACACAAGCAAACATCATCAGGTGTATATTAACCACATACTTGAACATGCAAGCAAAAACACACATGTGCGGTTCGTCTTTTGGCGTCCACTGGTCTAATACTGCTTGAGACTAGGCTCTAAAGAAAACTGTCTCTGGTGTGGACCAATCAGTTTCAAAGACAATGCATCATATACTATCAGAGCATATTTTTGTTTGCATGTTCACCACAAGGATGTGTGGTTAATGCAGACATGGTTCCTTGCAAAAGGTTTGAGTTTGGTGTTTTAACATCTTAACACAACTGTTTTATTGCCACAAAGGGTAACACCTATTCTTATATATTGATACCGGCAAGGGAGGGCCCATGTCCTTATGGAGGCCTTGGTTTTCTAGAGCTTTTATGACTATATCAGTTTTCACTGAATCAACTGCCTTTTACATAGTCTTCTAATTATAAAAGCCAGGCATCGTGGCATGTTTATATTAATGTGTTTTATCGAATGTGAATGATAGTTTGTATGTATGTAGCAAGTGGTAGCAAGGGCTTTTCAAAATCTAACTTGTTCATGTGTTTGTACATTGCTCAGTTCTCCAAGAAAGTCATGGACTATATGTGTGTGTGTGATAAGCGTCCGATAAGTCTGAAGTTCTTGAAATCAGTATTGTCTTTTAAAACTGACAAAACGATTCTACGATTGAGGTGCTTTATTTTTGTGTAAACATTCTCCCTCTCGTAATGAGATGGCAACATTTACAAGGGTAGATCGAGTCTTTTTTTAATGCGTTTTTTTTAATTTGTGTGAAAATAGAGCGAAAATAGTTCTGCTGATTTGATGTTGTCCAGAGATATTTATTTCCCTTTTATCATCCCGTAAAGGGCTAAGTTAACGTCTTTGCGCGCGACGTTTGGAACGTCCTGCTCTCTCTGAACAATGATCTATTTAGGTAGAAAAAGAAAATATATTGTGATATATTATTTTTTATTTTATTTTCTACCTACGTGACTTTACCGAAAGAACCAAAGAGTATGGAAAGCTTCAAATCAAGAATTCTCTATTTCCCAGGGTACGTAACTTTATTTTTTGTTATACGGATCCGCGCAACATTTCTCCGCCAGTTTTATACGGATCTGTGCGTCATAACACACGTGGCGATTGTCGACGCGTTTCTCTAACGTCCGTCCGCCTGGTGTGCGTGCATGCGTGCGTGCATGCGTAGAGCACGTGAAGGTTTTCTCGTTGGCCCAAGAATGGCCAAACGGCCACAATTCTAAGAACCGCATCTCGCCACTGTGACGCTGAACCACAAGACGACAGCGGGAAGCCAGCCCTTTATTGGGTTGGTTGCGCGTGGCTTCGCCGACTCGAAACAACAGCGTTCAACTTTGCAACGGCGCTCTGGCTTCTGAAACCTGCAATGCATTTTCAAACTTTCAAAATGTCACCGCAGTGGCCCGGGGGTCGGCGACCGACGGTCATTTAAACCCAGAGCGAACCGGCGGGAAGTTATTTTAAGGAACGCGGCACTAAGCAGACGGCTGCAACGACTGACAAATGCCCTTCGCCCGCCGCGATTTCATTTCCCCGCCGACTTGTGGCTCGTAAGGGAGACGCGGATTCACGATCGCCTCTTGACGGCTTCGCGTTTGTTCTCGCGCTGCAAAGCCGGCAACGGCCGGTTCGGCGTCGAACCGGTCGTGGCTTGTTTCCCCGAAATGAGTCTTTGGCTGCCGGTGAACTCTATACATTCTCGCGGAGGCTACGGCGTGTTTTCTTAAAGCGTGTGTTTTTTTTTACGGGTCAGAGGAGTCGGCCGGCGACTGAATAAACTAAGGCGCCACAATGGGACATGGTTGTCGTAGTTGAGAGAAGCATTTTTTTTTTAGGGAGAGTTCTGTGGGAGATCGTCAACACTGATACCGCAGTGAGGACGAGGGTCCTGCTGGATGGGATGACTTTTGTAGTGGTGTGAGATGAGAATTCTATTATTTTATTGGATAAAAAGAGGAGTTTGTATCAGATGAAATGAGAATTGTTTGGTATTCGACAAGGGTTCTGTAACAGATGACATGAGGGTTTTGTATGGGATGAAAATGATGATGACTCGCCGATAGTAAGTGACAATGGCAGTGATTTAAAAAAACCCACAATGCTCTGATTGTAATGATAACAATGATCATGAGAACGACGAGGAAACTGCACACAGCCCACCCCACCGTTGATTACGAGAGTGACGACGCCATCGACGAAGACGATGCCGCTGCCGATGACGGCGAAGACAACGGCAACAAAATCTGATGACCGCGTCAAGTTGGCCGACTTGTTGGTGGGGGTGGTGGGGCGCGGGTTTCACGGCCGGGGCCCCCCGCATCCCTGCAGCCCCGAGAACGGAGCGACGAGGTCGCGGAACGAGTCGGCGCGCCGCACGAGCCTCCAGCGCGCCCCGCTCACCAGCAGCTCGGCGGCGCGGGCCCGCGCGTTGTAGTTGGAGGCCATGGACGAGCAGTAGGCGCCCACGTCGAACAGCGCCAGCAGCGGCTGCGGCCGGGCGCCACCGGGTCCCGGCACCAGGTCAGGCCGCGGCAGGCGCCGGTCCCGAGCGAGGAAGTCGGCCGACTCGCACACGGGGCCGACCTGCGGGCGTGCCGGCACGGCGGGGTCAGGGTTCGACCCCGGGTTAGAACTTTTCTTGCCGCGACCTCGGTACAATAATTGTTTGGCGAATTGTTCGCGGCCTGCGATTTTGTATAAACGGCAAAAAATCAACGCGTGCAGTCGTAAATAATAAATTGTTATACACATGCGCACACTTGTTGTCCGTCCCCCGCACCGCCAATTAGCATGGTTGGCCACGTACGGTGCGAAATAAGTTCAACATACATACTTAATTCTACCATGTATCGAGACCACCGGAACTGCATCGATGAATTAAATGCATCATTGTATGCCCGGTCTGCATGCTGTGTAGTTCGTACACGGCACAGGAACGTTGCGTGCATAACCGCGTGGTTGCACGAATGCGCGGCTGCGTGCATAATCGCGCGGTTGCATGCAACACGACACACGCGACACGGAGTGATGGGTGGCGCGCATGTGAGGTGCACACGGTGGGTGCACGCGTGGTGGTGGTGGTGGTGGTGGCCGCGCGTCTGCAGCGCGTGCGGTTGTATTTGCGGCGCATTTCGTGGCGTGGCGCCAGCCGTGCATGCTGTGTATGCTTGAACAATAGCGGTGCGTGTCCGATTTAGCACGGCTGGCTACGTAAGGTGCAAAAGGAGTTAAACATACACACACGTGACGCGCAGGTGCAGTGTGGGCGCAGTCGTCTGTGTGCGTCTGTGCGCATGCTGTTTGCGGTAGTGTAGCGGTTGGCGGACTGCCCTTCGAACCCCCGGCGACCCGAGTTCAATTCCCGCTCTCGGCCAACATCGGTGACATCTGGACCAGTCCTGGGCCTTCCCTAGGTAGACTCAGCCTTAAATGAGTACCTGGTCATGCTGCTGGCCACCCCACCCCCTTGAATGTACAGTATGTACGTTGAACTTCTTTCGCACCGCACGTAGCCAACCGTGCTGATGTGTGGCGTGCCGGCCTTAATAGGTGCTCGCTAACAGCGGTTGTGGGCCAAATTGGGGGGGGGGTGGGGGGGATCTTTGTGCGTGTGTATGCTGTGTGCACCACGTCGAAGATGGCATAGCTCGGCTCTCCCGGGGGGTCCTGCACAAGCTGCGCATGGTGATACGCCCCGTACAGGCTGGGCCGCATCACGTCGGTCATCGCCGCATCCACAACAAGGAACTCCTTGTCTCTGGCGGATTTCACGCCCAGCACCTGCACAGATTATAAAAAAAAACACACGCAAGTTTGTTTATAAATCTCGCACAGAGCCAAAGCCATTACGAACCAGACCCTCGCGGCTCCGTTCTTGGGGCTGCAGGGACGCGGGGGGCCCGGGCGGGGGGGCCGGTCGTGAGACCCAGATGTGTCGTGAAAATACATGAGTGGCCTTTGGGAAAAATGTCCGCATTTTTAAAACGTAAATACTTACTGTTTTGAAAACCTCTCACGACAAATTGTCCTCACGATTGTCCTATCGGCGTCGCGCGTTCATTCAGATCTTCTCGTGGAACTGTGCAACCCTCTTGATGTTAGACAACAGCCCGTGGAAGTGGATATCGCAGGGCTACCTCGGAGATCCCTGCAAATGACCCGTGTTCCATCTCTGCCGCAGAGAGAGTAATATTCATTTTGTGACAGTCAAAGCAATATTTTACATTGTCAGAGCTGGAATTTAACGTAAATTAAGTGCAGAACCAAATTGAATGTGATTTGTGTGTGTTTGTAGCCATGAGCGGTAGTGTAGCGGTTTGCGCGCTGCTCTATAAACCCGGCCAACACCAGTGACGATTATCTTAACCGGTCCTGGGCCTCCCCTAGGTCTACTCAGCCTCAAATGAGTACCCGGTGCGGTGTGTAAACATCGCCACTGGGGAGACAAAGGCGGTCGGGCGTGGTGCTGGCCACCCACCCCCTCGTTGTACCGTTGCGGCCTTCATAGGTGCTCGCTAACAGCAATTGCCCCCACAGTCTGTTATGGTTATATGGGCCGAGACCATTAATTCGCTACACTTGAGAACTCGGTTTAATCACAGGAGGTTTGATTCGAACCCAGGTTTTCAGCCCTGGCTATCTTCTGCTGCCCCTTTCACCATCAAGGGAGTGTCTATGAGCGAGGTACCAAACCCAGGCTACGCACGCCACCCTGTGGCTCATCTTTTAAAAACGCAACCCAAACCCCCCCCCCCATACACTCACTCTCAACGTGTAAACACGTATCTAGGCGATGTGTCCCAGGTTGTGCTACACAGGTCTGAAGCTTCATTCGTACAAAAGTCGTCGTCAAGAACGTGATTGTGACACTCTCGTGATGCCACACACCGATTGAAATACACCGATCCGCAAGCATGTGTTTTAACATATGGCTCGTGAGTTCAGGAATCGATGTTCAAATCGATCGATTCGACGCGTCGTTACACCCCTGCGGGTCCGCTCTGGATCTACCCTCGCTCCGCACCCCGCCCCGACCCCGCACCTCCGTCACCAGCACGGCGGCGTCGCCCACGATGGATCGGCCCGGCTCCAGCACCACCTCCACGTCCTCCGGCGCGCCCTGCCACGAGAGACGCAGCTCGTCGCGCACGGCCGCCACCAGCTCGTCGGGGGATGGCGCGGCGCTCGTCCCGTCGCGCCGGTAGTCGATGTCCAGCCCGCCGCCGAAGTTGAGCACCCGCAGCGCCGGGAAGGCGCCCCCCGAGCGCAGCTCCGTCGCCGTACGCGCCACGAAGGCCACCGCCGCCCGGAAGGCCCCCAGGTCCCTCACGGTGGAGCCGAGGTGGCAGTGGAGGCCGCAGAGCTCCAGGCGCGGGTTGGTCCTCACCGCGTCGAGGAGGGCGTCGAAAGACGGCCCGCGCGACACGCCGAACTTGGACGAGGCGAGGCCCGTGGCGACGTACGGGTGGACGCTGGGGTCCACGTCCGGGTTGACTCGCGCCAGCACGGGCACGCGCGGCGCGGGGCCCGTCACCGAGGAGGCCACGTCGCCGATTCTGCGCGCGTCGAACGGCGAGTCGACGTTGAGCGAGCAGCCGCGGGCGACGGCGAGGGCGATCTCGTCGCGCCTCTTGCCGTTGCCGTTGAGCAGGATGCGCCGTGGCTCAAACCCCGACAGCAGCGCCAGGCGGATCTCGTTGCCGCTCACGGCCGTGGCTCCACAGCCCAGGGAGCTGTTCGCGGAGCGAGACGCACGGATCAGGGTCAAGGACCGCGAATGTTGTAAAAAAAAAGTTGAGGTCAAGAGGTCGTTATGGCCAATGCTGTTATGGCACCCAAGTTTGCCATTCCTTTTATTTTTCCGGGTCATTCTGCTAGCTGAACAGATGACCTCCAGGGTATACTCTGACAGTCTCGGCAACCAGCGCATCTCGGTCAGCTGTCCCCCTCCATCCTACGCACGTGCCACACTCTTCACAACCTCCTCTACAATGCTTTCTTAGCATGCGCTATTACACACGTGCACATTTGCTTTACATATCGTGACATTACATTCACAGCATGAGTATGCAACACCCTCTTGACGTGGCTAATTTTGCTGGCATCTATTAGTCGCCCAGAGTGCGTGACTCGCAATCACATGAAGTCCTCAGTTCGCACTGTGTGGGCAGGCAGGTGATACGGATAGATAGGTGATACAGCTGTACAGGTGAGGCAGGCGGATGAGTAATATGGGTGGACAGGTGACAGGAGTCAACAGAACAGGTGGGCAGACAGGTGAGATAGATGGACACTGGAAACATGAACAGGTAACACGTAGGCACAGGTGACACTGGTAAATGAGTGAGGAGAGCAGGCAGGAGGCATGGACAGGTGACGTGGACAGGTGACGTGGACAGGTGACACAGGTAAGGTGAACGAACACCGGTGAAGCCAAGACGGGCAAATCAGGCGGATAGGCGAGGCAAACGGCCAAGTTGACGCGGCCTCGACCAGAAGATGCGAGCCGACAGGTAAGCTGGCCCAGGTGGTGGGACCGAAATATCTGAGATTGAGACCAAATGGACAGGCGAGAGGGTGCGGTGCCTTGGTCTGACCTTATGACCTTGAGCAGATGCGGGTTTCCGTTGGCCTTCACCGAGTAGTTGAGGGTCGCTCGAAATCCGCTGGCGCGCAGCGCTCGCTGGTAGGCGCGCACGTTCTCCACGATTTGCGCGCGGCTGTAGACGAAGAACGGCGTGCAGGGAGCTCTGAACAATGCGGACGACTGGCGGCTGTCGGGGCAATCGGCCGCACGGCCGCTGTCACGGGACTCCTGATCGAGTGGGGGCCAGCCCTCGTGGAGTGGGGGGGAGAGGTCCTCCTGGAACACCAGGTCGGTAACATCTTCTGGCGGCTCGGACTCGTGCGGGCATCCGCTGTTCCGCAGCTGTTCGGCGAGATCAATGAGGCTTAGTTCTTCGCAGAAGAGCGTCCCGTCTCGGTATTGGAACTGCTGATGATGATCACATTTCTCACCCATGATCAACGATCCTTGCCGTCGGCCGAGGAGATGAATTGACCGCAGTAGTTGTCGAATGACGGGTTGAGTCGAGCGGACGGGTGACTAATGTTGCGATTTATCTTGCCGAGAAAGGTACAAGTCGTGTACTTTGGAACATTGCACTTGTCAAATTGCTGAGGTGGTGGTCAGAGGGCGAGGGAGAGGAGGGAGTGGGGGTGGGAGTGTTGAATCAAGGTGAAAATGAAGAAAATAGTATGCACACGAGGATGAATTCCGTAACGCTCTCCAACGGACGTTTATCTTCAATGATTGCGGTTTCGATCAAGGCACTAAAATGTGTTTGGTGGGGGGGGGAAATAATGATGAGATTGTCTATAAAACGATTGGGATGCAATTCCATGTGGATTTTCTGTACTTGTTTGGAAACACTCTCGGCCGTGACACGGTCAACATCAGCATCATCAGCCATGATCGATCCACTGCTGGATGAAGGCCCTCTTACACCTCCCCCCCCCCTCCAAGCAGAGCCATCACCCTTCCCACGCGTACGCGCTTTATAACAAAATCCATCTTCTGATCTCATTGGAGAAACCAAACGCCATATCTCGGACCGCATTCGTGAACATAAAGCAGACCTTAAACACGGTAGGACCAACACCTCGGCCGTAGCAGATCATTGTTCTAATTCAGTAGGCTCACATGCCATTGACTTTTCCAAGACGGAGGTTCTTTGTAAGCCATCTGGCTTCCATGAGAGATTCGTTCATGAGGCTATCCACATATACAAACACAGAGACAATTTCAACCGAGAAGATGGATTCTATCTTAGCAATCATTGGAAAGATTTGATAAATCATTTCAGTTCTTGATTGATTGTTCACGCTTACAGTGCCTTTCAGACAGCATACATAAAAACAAATTTCGTCTCCCCCCTCCTCTTTTCAAAAAAAATAGATGGACTAGTCCTGGCAAACTGCCATCGTTGCGCGTGACGCAAACGTTATTTTTATATATATAAATAAATAAACATGCCGTTTTCAAAATAAATTTATGCAAACCGACACACCTGATGATGACCGTTTGAGTTATGGTCGAAACGTCGTGAGAATTTTTTATTGTTTTATATATATTTTGTTATTTTGTTGTTTCTCTTCAACGTGACTTTACCGAAAAAACTAAGAATATGAATTACTGCAGTCACGAAAGCTTTAAATCAAAATTTAATCGCCTCTACGGGGAGGGTTTTCACATAACTTTAAGATCCTTCAACAAACTCCGGGATAAGAAAGCTCAGCTGATCGAGTCTCTCACCTTCCTGAAGAGATGCCGCGACTCTGGGGTAATACCAATCGCATTTACACTCACCTCTGCTACTGTAACTTCTTCTAATGCGAAACGAATTCTTTTCAAAACTAGCTTAGCTCTTATCTCAGAAAAAATCAGACTTATACGCACAGAACTAGATCAGTTAGACAAGACACTCTACAAATCACACTTATCATTGACGGCAATAATGTCCACATCGGATTGGGAACATGTAGACAATATGACTGCCTCTTCAGCTGCTACTATGTCGACCAAATGTAAGGAAAACCTGATTTCCAAATTTAACCTCCTTTTCAACAAAAGACCGGACCCACACACCAAAAAGTTAGACGTTAATAAAGTCGTAATTAATCGCAGTAACAGTTCTATTTCCGATGGTCTGAAATCCGTTTTAGCTAAAGGTCTAAACTTTGCAGTCACACCTAAACACATACCAGTTAATGATATAATTGCCCAAGTAGACGTTGCTCTCAGGGGCCTGGGTCACATCGCTGCAGACGTAGCAAGATCTGAAATCGCTGCAACCCTCAAAAACGCTAAGATGCCAGCTAGCAACCTCAGCAAAGATGAGCGTTTTGAATTATATAAATTAAAAAAGAGGAATGATATTGTAGTTCTCTCAGCTGACAAAGGCAATGCTACTGTTATCATGGATAAAATAGAATACAACAACAAAATTAAAGAATTACTCGACGATGGTAGTTATACAAAAATAAAAAGAGATCCCACCAACAGCCTCGTCACACAAACCAACAAAATAATTTCTGATTCAACCGCATTAATTGATCAATCTAAACAGTTTTCGTTGAAACCTTCTGCTGCCAGGCCACCAAGATTATACGGCTTACCAAAAATACATAAAGTTGATACACCTCTTCGTCCCATAGTCTCTACTATCAGCTCCCCCACCTACAAACTAGCTCGTTTTTTGTCTGAAATCCTGCGTCCTTTCACTGGAAAGACCACCTCTGCGGTACAAAATTCTACTCACCTGGTATCAACAATCAAGGGTATTTCCCTGTCCCCAGACGACCTGCTTGTCAGTTTTGATGTAGTTTCCTTATTCACCAAGGTTCCTGTACCTGACACCATTGCAATCATTGAAGACTTGGTTCATCAAGGACTAAACACTGAGGTACCCCCCCTGGTGAGACACTGTTTAACCAATACATACTTCACTTGGAATGGAACTTTCTACAAACAAACTGAGGGCACCCCAATGGGCTCCCCCCTTTCTCCAGTTATAGCTAACATTTTCATGGAGAAATTTGAGACTGACGCCATCCAGACTGCCACTCTGCGCCCAACCTTATGGAAGAGGTACGTGGATGACACTTTTGTCATCTGGCCACATGGCCGGCCTGCTCTAGACCAATTCTTCGACCACATCAATTCCATACACCCAGCCATCAGATTTACCATGGAAGTCGAAATAGATGGCAAGATACCTTTTTTGGATGTCCTAATTAAAAAGAGACCTGATGGTTCAATGAGCCACTCTGTCTACAGGAAAGCTACCCATACGGATGCTTATCTGAAACCGGATTCCCACCACCATCCATCACAGAAGAATTCTCTCATCAAGACTCTGTATCATAGAGCCCAATGCATATCCGACCAGGAACACATAAGCAGTGAACTCAAGCACGTACACCAAGCTCTTAGGGCTAATGGTTACTCCGACTATACAATCCGCAAAGCTTTCACTCAAACCATGAAGAAGAACCCTCTTGAGGAGCCTTTCAAAACCATCACTTTACCCTACATTGCTGGGATCACAAAAAAGATCTCCAAAATCTTGAATAAACACAAGATCCAGGTCCGTTTCAACACATTACATAAAATCCGTGATCTGGTTCCGTCTGTAAAAGATGTGATTCCGGACATACAATACCCTGGTGTCTACAAACTAAGTTGCCTCTGTGGTAGTAGTTACATTGGAGAAACCAAACGCCATATCTCGGACCGCATTCGTGAACATAAAGCAGACCTTAAACACGGTAGGACCAACACCTCGGCCGTAGCAGATCATTGTTCTAATTCAGTAGGCTCACATGCCATTGACTTTTCCAAGACGGAGGTTCTTTGTAAGCCATCTGGCTTCCATGAGAGATTCGTTCATGAGGCTATCCACATATACAAACACAGAGACAATTTCAACCGAGAAGATGGATTCTATCTTAGCAATCATTGGAAAGATTTGATAAATCATTTCAGTTCTTGATTGATTGTTCACGCTTACAGTGCCTTTCAGACAGCATACATAAAAACAAATTTCGTCTCCCCCCTCCTCTTTTCAAAAAATAGATGGACTAGTCCTGGCAAACTGCCATAGTTGCGCGTGACGCAAACGTTATTTTTATATATAAATAAATAAACATGCCGTTTTCAAAATAAATTTATGCAAACCGACACACCTGATGATGACCGTTTGAGTTATGGTCGAAACGTCGTGAGAATTTTTTATTGTTTTATATATATTTTGTTATTTTGTTGTTTCTCTTCAACGTGACTTTACCGAAAAAACTAAGAATATGAGGCACCACCTGTTATGTAATAATAATTATTATTTTCTGGAAGATTTGCTGGTTTATCCAGGATGTTTCTGTTGCGCGCCGTCGCTTTAAGATGTTTCTCTGTTTGTTGCGGTTGCACCCGACTCAAGAGCCGCGTGGCTCACAGGGCTATACCTAATAGATTAAACTTGAATCTTTAATGTAATACATTTTGATTTAAAGCTTTCGTGACTGCAGGGATTCTTGTTTTTTTCGGCAAATAGTTGGAAGTGAATAGCGCAGTGACGTCAATCCGCATGGAGGCGCGGTGACGTCAACCCGCAGGGAGGCGCGGTGACGTCAACCCGCAGGGAGGCGCGGTGACGTCAACCCGCAGGGAGGCGCGGTGACGTCAACCCGCAGGGAGGCGCGGTGACGTCAACCCGCAGGGAGGCGCGGTGACGTCAACCCGCAGGGAGGCGCGGTGACGTCAACCTTCAGGGAGACGTGATGACGTCATCTCACAGGGCTCTCCCTCCCCCCCCACTGTCCGAATCGAGTTCCCGGCGCAGTCTCATTTATTATTTTTCTTCTTCCATTAATTCGATTCGTTCGCTCGAACTGGCTCGACACTCTTACACTTAGGTTACCGATAATAATGTAAACAAATATTAGTATTGCTGATTTTAATAACAAATCGTCGCAGTCACGCGTGCTCTTGAAGAGGGGTGGGGGGGGGGACCGCGACGTCACGTCCGCTCGAAGCGGTGACTTTGCGCCTGGGCCACAATGTTGCAGTTCGTGGTGAGGCGATTTTTACATTCACGTACGTTCGGCTTTCGTAAACTCGCATCGTTCACATCACCACCCACCATCATCGTCGTCGTCGTCACCGTAAAGTGATCGTACAACATCATTGTAAATTAAGGCCTCCGCCGTGTTTGGTCGTTTGACCATACTTCGCCGCTCTGGTCCAACGCGCGCTTTAGCCGCGGTCGGGAATCGAACCCGAGTTGCTGCCCAGCACGATCAGTCGGTAGCGTGTGGGTGTCTAGATTCACTCTGCCTTAAACGTCTAGATTCACTCTGCCTTACACGTCTAGATTCACTCTGCCTTACACGTCTGATTCACTCTGCATTAAACGTCTGATTCACTCTGCCTTAAACGTCTTGATTCACTCTGCCTTGAACGTCTGATTCACTCTGCCTTAAACGTCTGATTCACTCTGCCTTAAACGTCTGATTCACTCTGCCTTGAACGTCTTGATTCACTCTGCCTTGAACGTCTTGATTCACTCTGCCTTGAACGTCTGATTCACTCTGCCTTAAACGCCTAGATTCACTCTGCCTTAAACGTCTGATTCACTCTGCCTTAAACGTCTAGATTCACTCTGCCTTAAACGTCTAGATTCACTCTGCCTTACACGTCTAGATTCACTCTGCCTTACACGTCTGATTCACTCTGCATTAAACGTCTGATTCACTCTGCCTTAAACGTCTTGATTCACTCTGCCTTGAACGTCTGATTCACTCTGCTTTAAACGTCTGATTCACTCTGCCTTGAACGTCTTGATTCACTCTGCCTTGAACGTCTGATTCACTCTGCCTTAAACGTCTTGATTCACTCTGCCTTGAACGTCTGATTCACTCTGCCTTAAACGTCTGATTCACTCTGCCTTAAAGGTCTGATTCACTCTGCCTTGAACGTCTTGATTCACTCTGCCTTGAACGTCTGATTCACTCTGCCTTAAACGTCTTGATTCACTCTGCCTTGAACGTCTTGATTCACTCTGCCTTGAACGTCTGATTCACTCTGCCTTAAACGTCTTGATTCACTCTGCCTTGAACGTCTGATTCACTCTGCCTTAAACGTCTAGACTCTAGATTCACTCTGCCTTAAACGTCTGATTCACTGTCTTAAACGTCTGATTCACTCTGCCTTGAACGTCTGATTCACTCTGCCTTGAACGTCTTGATTCACTCTGCCTTGAACGTCTGATTCACTCTGCCTTAAACGTCTTGATTCACTCTGCCTTGAACGTCTGATTCACTCTGCCTTAAACGTCTAGACTCTAGATTCACTCTGCCTTAAACGTCTGATTCACTCTGCCTTAAACGTCTGATTCACTCTGCCTTGAACGTCTTGATTCACTCTGCCTTGAACGTCTGATTCACTCTGCCTTAAACGTCTTGATTCACTCTGCCTTGAACGTCTGATTCACTCTGCCTTAAACGTCTAGATTCACTCTGCCTTAAACGTCTGATTCACTCTGCCTTAAACGTCTGATTCACTCTGCCTTAAACGTCTGATTCACTCTGCCTTAAACGTCTGATTAACTCTGTCTTAAACGTCTTGATTCACTCTGCTTTAAACGCTGATTCACTCTGCCTTGAACGTCTGTCTTAAACGTCTGTTTAAGGCAGAGTGAAGTCGGTTCAAGTTTTCCAAGTTTCGTGTATTAGGTATGACCAGCCCTGTGAGCCATGCGGCTCTCGAGTCGGATGCAACCGCGCAACAAACAACATTTGAATACAGAGCATCTTAAAGCGACAACGCGTAACAGAAACATCCTGGAATAAACCGGCAAATATTCCACGCACAAAAAAACTTGTTAAAACGCTGTGTGCAAAAATTTATTTGGTGCAAGCCAACAACAGCAACCATAATACAATTTAGATTAATCGTATGTTTTGGAATCGCCAAAATAAAGCTATGAAAACAATGTAACAAGAGTAATCATAGAGACCAGGCTGCCTGACACGGCTAACATCAGTGGCGAGCGGATACCTTAGACAACCTCGTCCACAGCGGTGCCTCAATTCAATCCCACACCCGTAAATCCGCGCGAACTAGCGTGGTGAAGTATGGTCAAAACAAGGCCCGATGTGTTATAATATTGGACTGCCAATGGAGTGTTTAAACTAAAACCTTGCGCTGTCTTGTACATAATGATCGGCTATGGTTCGTCCACTGTTGCTTGAACACGCCTGTCACAAGGCCTTTTAAAATGACAAGCCGTGGAGAGAAAGCAGTTCGGACTAACGCGCTATGTTGTAAGGGGGGTGGAGAATGTGACCATACTTCACCACACTGGTCACCCAATGCCTGCTAGTTCGTACAGATACCCACCTCGCACTACTGATGTGGTCGCCAACACATACTTTGGGTACAGTCCACTACTGTACCGTTGTTATTATTATTAGGTTATTTTTTGACGTGGCATGTACAGCCCCCTCTACTGGCCCATCCATGGGATATTTTAATGAACAATGCGTGTGTTAAATCTTGATTCAAAGATTTCGTGTTGTAATATAGAATTAAATAGGTGACATGGTTCCCCCCCACCTCCCCCCATCAAATTCACGGGGTTTTGTGGAACAAAAAAGTATTCCGGGAACAGTTTTTTTTAGCAGTTAAACTGAATATATATGGATGGTTTTCGTCCCGTCTGGAGTGTGGACATGTCGAAATATCTCGAGTATTAAAAGTCTTCGAGTAAGAATAAAAATAGCCTTGTACTTTACTGTACCGCGCAAAGAGATGTTGCATTAAACCATGCGACGCCTACTTATTTTTAGCGCTGCCAGTGTAGTTGATCTTATTGTTTTCATTTAGGCCTCTGTGAGAGCTAACATGACCGCGTTCATTCGCACTGACTCATAGTATTTTCATAGTCTTGCAGAGGCCCGGAGGACATTGAATAAGCGAGATGACCCTGAGATTGCATTAAGTAATAAAATACAATTAATATAAAAATGGGAGTCATATGAGGGCGGGGGGGTTTGATTTTGCCCAATCTATTCATAGCTTCGTTTCATTGTTTTTTTTTACTTAGAGAAAATAAAGACATTTACTTACGATTGAGACGATGTTAACCATGCCGATGGCAGCTATTGGAATTACCAGTGGGAATGAATTGCCAACACATGCGTCCAATAACACTGCCTTTAAAGGAAAAGGAAATAATCGGTGACGTTTTCGGCACTGGTCCTTCTACAGCACATATGGAGACCAGAGAGAGTTTGGAGAAGGCCTATCTCTGTGCTGTGAAGAAGGGCCATTGCCCGTAACGTTGCCCGTTACAGGGAATACTTTTCCTTTTAAGGCAGTGTTATTGGACGAATGTGCTGATTCTGTTTGTTATTTACGCTTATGCACCACTGCTGCCAACGCAGTTGTGACCTAATAAGTTGTAACTAAAGACGGTTGTAAAGTTGTGCTCACGATAGATTTGAGCAAAACAAAACTTTGTACAACAAGTTTGCTGAACAAAAGAAGCTCACTGTTGTGGATGGAATTTAAGGCACAACACGAAAACACTGGGGTAATTGTTTAGTATATGGTACACGGCATTAATTGAAGGTCAACCCCAATGTAAATATATTTTTTTACAGGGTGGCCAAAAAGTCAGGACACATAGGGTCAATATATTGATTTTAACAAATCACAGTGATATTTCATTTTAGCTAATGTCAAACTGACTTCCGTAAACATTAATGCAAGCTTCAATTATCTTTTTAAATTAATTTAGGCCTTTTTTTAGCATGTATAAAAATGAGTTAAACTCGTAAGTCTTTCTTAAATTTTCATCTGAAAAGAAAAAAACATGGATATTCATAATAGGTAAAATATGAAACAACAAACAAATAAAAATCTTTAATGGCAGTTTTAAAATAAATGAAATAACCCTGTGTGCCTGACTTTTTGTTGAATAGTTAGCAACGCCATTTGCAGAGGTCATCAATTGCCCGGTCACGGAAGAGGGCTTAGCTGTGCACGCGCCATATTCGTAACCTGTTTCGCCAACCTCCCAGAGGCAAATTCCATACGGTTGTTACGTTAAAACGTATTGGAGAATTCCACGAGAGTCACACACCACCGACGCTTCAAGCCACTTTTGGCCTACTCTTGTTTATGTTTGGTGAAATTACCTTTATATGATGACTGCAACACAAGCAATCATCATCAGGTGTGAAAACCACTTGATGATGATTGCTTGTGTTGCAGTCGAAACGTAGTGAGAATTTTATTGTTTTATATTTTTATTATTTTATTGTTTCCCTTCTACTTGACTTTACCGAAAGAACCAAGAATATGAATCCCAGCAGTCACAAAAGCTTTAAATCGAAACTACCTTTGTTGTGCTATGGTAGTGAGCAGGGGGGAGAAGGGGATAGTGCAGCTAAATAATTTGTTGCACCCTGCTGCTACGCTGTGCTGTCTGTTCCTCACCTTTACAAATCCCTACAAACAGCGTGGGCAGACCTTCATCCGGCAGTGCACCCTCAGTATTTGTTCTTGTGTCAAATTTTCAAACGGTGTTTTTTTCTGCATGTTGTTGAAACGGTGGAATTTGTTTTCAGCTGAACTTATTTAGTCGGCATGTAATGATGCATCAATTGATTTTCCAACATCACCTTTTACGCTCACGGCACGTGTATTTTAAGCAATGTGTCTGGAGTTTTAAATAGTTATGATATATGCAAGTGAATCAATCATAAGTAAAACCGAGACAAAATAATACATTTGAATCAAATAGCAACTCGGAATTGTGATATTTAATTGAATCACTGGTGCGGGTGACTTGTCAAATCTTTAGTTTCCACAGCTCAGCGGTGGAATGATTGTGAGGTCGGAGCTGAAGGTAATGTACTCGATAATTCAATGTTGTGCCAGTTCTCTCTCGGCCTCTTGAGTGGGTGGAGAAAGCTGACGTGGAGCGAATGTGGATCTGACTGTGGTCTCTGCTTGTCTTGCAGGTGGGGTTCGCCTTTGGAAATCTTGTGGGAATGTACCTTGCCCAGAATTATGAGGTGATCTCACATTTATCACCGCACCTACTCAGAGCCCATAGTTGTAGTCTTAGAGGTTGCCAACAACCATTGCCTGGATGCATCAAACACCTTGAGTGATTTTCTGTCCTCGCTAGACTGTAAGTTGGCCAGGAGATGGCAGTAGCATAGAGGTTTCTGATCCATTTGTCCAAATCCTTGTGTGTTTTCCCGTTTTGTAAATAATGTGCCTAATCTGTGGGTACCTTAATGAATAAAATACCTAGCGTTGCTCCCGCACTTAAACACAACTGATTTAAATTAGCCAAAAATAACAATACTGAACCCTGTAATACCTCTGAGGCTTTTCTAAATAGATAAATGCAATTTAAATATCTGTTTACATTTAAGGTGTAAACATGCTTACATGAGAATGCCCTCGGAATTTACTGAAAAAAAGTTTGATGTAGACAGTTTCATTATCATTGACCGGATCAAACAAAAACATTTTCACGGTATATTTTTTATTCAACGTGCTACATTAATTGGTTTGGCAAAAAAATAACAAGGCTGACATTGTGAATGGAAAAGTTCCGTTGTCATGTGCGAGTTGTAAATTAGTGTAGTGATGACAAGCTGCATTATGGTACACGTACAAAAGTAATAAAGTTGAAAACGTGGTGCCTGCGTATTACAGGGTAAAGCCCAAATAGACTGACATACCGACCTCGCTAGATTGACGGACTAAACACACCTGTAGGTAGGTGATGTTGTTGCGCATGCCTCTTGGCATGCACTCCTTAGCTAGTGCTGACGTACAAACAATTATCGCTGCGCCATGTAGACGCAGCACATGTCAGGCCGAGGTCATGATATGCATCGGAAATGCATCTGGATTTTCCACCAAGGTTAAAAATCTTGCATTTTAAGTGCAAGGTAAAATACAGTGAGCTGTTATCTTGCAGATGCGGACCTAAGTAACCATGTATCGATGCATCGATTAATATTCGTTATTACGCCCATGAGCTATATGCATGGAAGCCGTTACATTCACCGTATTGTTAAAACCGTGCACCTTAAAAAAAGATAATAGGCAACATTTTTGGAAATGGTCCATTCTTCATAGAATGTTGAGGCTAACCCTTATCAATTATATTTCTCTGGCCTCGATATTTATGTCGTATGAAGAAGGGTCATTACCCAATATGTTGCCCATATGTTTAAGTTTTTTAAGGCAGTGTTATTTACAAATGTGAGTTTTTGTTAATAGTTCTTGTGCACCACTGCCAAGGCATCACCGCAGTTTTTGTTTTCATTGTTAAAATAGAGATCAAATCTGGGATTAAATTGCGACCCTGAACCTCAATAATTATCTATTGTATTGTGTATGGGGGGTGGGGTACATCTTTAAACCCCTTTCGGGTTCATATCTGCAAGATAGGAGTGATTAGATTTTTTTTGGTTGCATTTTTAAGTGAGAGCGAATCCCTCCAAGAGGGTTTTTTGGCAACAAGTGGCTCGGTCAGTGATTAAGAGCTTTACAAAACCCTTAAACCCCATCCTCTGGATTTGCCATCCAGGTGCCTGATGTGGCGAAAAAGGTGGACGAGTGGAGAAAGTCCTACGAGCCCAAGAAGAAGAACGGTGGCGACGGCAAGCAATAGCCCTTGCTGCAGACTCGCGTTGTGCTGTGGATTTGCTGTTAATGCCACCACTTGAAGTGGAACTGTACCTGTAATCAAATCGGAGGCACTGCCAGGCCAAGATATTATCCACACACGGTGGCATCCACTCAACGAGCGCAAAATATTGCTTGTCCAAAAAAAATGTCCAAAATATTTGTTTGGATGTCGCGGTACGCAAGCCATGCTGACTGTATACATTTCCGCTTTGAAACGTAATGCTTAATTGGATTTAAACCGGAAGGTGACTGGGAAAGGGTGCACAGCTGGGTGATATTTTTTGTTTCTGAACACATGTTTTACCGCTGAACTTTGGGCTTGTGTCGCGAAAGCCAATGCCTGCCATTTTTGTGGTAAACCGTTGCAAGATTAGAATGCATTATGCGCCATTTTGGCAAATGGGTAATACAAATAGACCCCTGTTGATGTCTTCACATATAAACAATATTTTTTTGCCCATCAGTCTCTAGGCTTTCTGGACCAATATTTCTGGATTTAGTTGTTCCCTTAAGGCTGGCGATTTATGTCATGCTTAAGCATGAACTAATCATATTGTAATGAAATAAAATTTCTGATAGTCAAAGTGCATTCGAGTGAACACTTTTGTTTATCACGTTCTTAAGGCTGTTAACTACAATTGTTTGCAATTCGCCAAGTAGCTTTTGCGAAGGGTGTCGGTAATTTAAGGAAAAAAGCACAATCATTACAAGTGACTATAACAATTGCATTGGTTATGAAATATAATTTCTTCCTATCTTGGGAATTGATGATCCAAGCTCAGGAACTCGTGACCTCATATGAAGTGCCTCTACATTGATGGCCATACTTAAATAATTGCTTTCTTTGTTACTGTGTAAATTGTTTAAATCTAGACTCTAATTGAGTAAATGAATTATTGTAAAATGTGTTCATTGTATCGCGAGTTGTAAAAACGTGGCAAAGCAGTGAGGTTCAAAGAATACAAAGGGTTCAACTATTTTCCAGCAGGTCACAATAACATACGTGCTGGTGTGCCGTATGACTTTGTGACATACGATGTTACGTAGCTTAGTGATGGGCCACTAGTCTTCATGCACCTCTTGTCTCCACATCTTTCTCTCGTGCGTCTTGCTTTCAACTCGCTAATCTGTCTCGATTTATCTGTCAGCGGGCCACTCCCAAGAGCCTTCCGAGCCACATTTGGCCCGTGGGCTGTCGGTTAGTTAAAGAACACTGACAAAGAGTGCCATGTCCGTGGAGCAAACGAAAGTACCAGTTCAATAAAAAAAGGCACCAAAATTCATACGCGAGCTGTATTTAAAAAAAAATGCTTCCAGTGTGTACATGCAATACAAAATCGATTTACAAAATTAAAGCTATGAAATAAAAAGTGTGGCACAAATAACATCTCTCTTAGCGTCGCCCCCGACACATTGTTGTGAGCCTATCACCAGAGGCAGTGGGCGCTTTGGTGGAAGTCACGTCGGCAGCTGCACACAGCTCTCGCACCAGAGTTCACCGTGTCCTTTCTAACCCCGTAAGGTTGGGACCACTCGGGCTACTCGCGTTAGAAATGCAACGCTGGAAAACATCGGCGGTGCCAACACCGGTCAGGTTTTTTCGTGTTGGTGGAACCTCGGTACAGTAATCGGAATTTGGCTGAGGACATTATTACAGTGGACCCAAGTGGCCAATGAGTTTTAGATGTTGTGACCGACTTGCACGTGGGGGCAAAACGTTTCTAAACTAATTGGTGGGACAGATGTGAAACTCGACACTTGCGTTTTCCCCCAGCCTTCGTACCAACATTTCGTTTTCTAAAGGAAAAGCTGCCTCTTACTCGATGTGCCTTAGGCGTTACTTGGGAATTTAAATAATCCCAACCACGAACCAGAACGCCCTGTACTCCGCAGTGGAGAACGTGTGTGTGCCGTTTGCTAGGAAGTGATGATGCGCCTGTGGTGATGAGCATACATGTTTAACGCGAGTACCAAAAGCACTGCCAGAGCTGTGCAAAATCCTGCATTACATTTTTTGCTTAATGGGTACTCGTATTAACGCGCTGGCTCCGCTATGGATGAACTTGCTTTTCTCTTATTTTTTATTTTCTACCCAACCAATCAATGGGTACATGTACAGCCTTTTATCAGTCCACTGGACGACCCACTCGTTGCGGGAAGGCTCACAATCCACTGGACTAGGACCCTTCCACATCTTTACCATACTCCGCGACGCTTGCTAGTGCTGCTTGGGGGAGAATAGCCCTCTGCTGCCCAACATGTCTCTAGCAAATTTCCGTGCGTTTTGGTTATACCCGTCAAAAGCACTATCCAGGTATAGCCCCGCGTAGCTTCTGGGACCGGGCACATTACAGATGATTTGGACGTAGGGAAACATGAATCGATAGGTACCAAGTCATTAATCTCCCAAGATTGGCAAAACACTCAGGGGATTGCTTCTCTTTGGCAGGGCTAGGCTTGAAAAATGCACTGCACACAAATCTTGATTTGACATTGTACGGCTAACTCAGCAACGTTATATGGGAAAGGCGTCAGGACGACCGTACCGAAAGGGGCCATTACAGCATCATTCACGCAAACGCATTCAAGTATTTTAACACGTATTCCGTGCATAGCTGGGACACCGGCTCGGCCTTGGCCTTTTTCTCAGCATCTACCACGCCACGCGTTTGTCCCAGAAACCTACCTATGAACTGTTTACCTGCGAAAGACAATTTTCTAAAATACAAAATCCTAGCAAATGATATATTTTTTTGCCAGTTGATTAATTGGCACAGCATGATTAAAACACGTCAATTTGATGGCAGTAATTGCCGATACATTAATACAGCAGTGTGTAATGGAATGTTACACAAGGTTGATTTTGCAAGCTGAAAGAACTTGCATCGTATGAATGTTTTGAGCACAGTCACGATAAGATGTAATACTTATCAAAAAGTCAATTCAGTTTGTTTTATTTTTGACTTGAGATGTTGTAAGACAGCAGGTACTTGTTCATATGAGTGTCATGCTTCTGTCAAAGTAAAAAAAATAACGGCTAATCGTAAAAACTAAGTCATTTTACCTATGAGCCATTGCCATGGAATGAAATTTCACATTTGCACACCCGTCGTGACGCGTGCAAAAATGTTAACTTGGAACTCCACTAGTAACGACGTGCAGCAGTCGATTTTATATCTAGTGTTTAATGGAATGAAATAATAATTTAAAGACCTTTCTCAGTCCACTGCTGGATGAAGCCCTCCCCACATATCGTGTCAGTCTTGCAGCGTTGACCATACTTATTACGCTGAACAGTGGGGGTTGGTCAAAAGAAGGCCCAGGACCAGTTTAGATATAATTTCCCACAGACGTTAAGCTGCGACCGGGAATCAAACTCGGCTCGCTGGGTTCATAGCGCAGCTCCGATTAACATGGTTAGCTACGTCCGGTGCGAAAGAAGTTCAACGTACATACGTGTGAATCACTGCACCACCGCTCCATCCGTAAAGTGTACAGGTTTGTGTAAACATACGATTTCTATTATTAAACCGCATGGGTGAATGACTAAATATCGGTTATGAATGCTGCGGGTGTATTCAGTTACATAATTGTCATTGAGATTATTTTAGATTATTTTTAAATAATCTGATATTTTTTTACATTGTGAACATCTCAAAGTGTGGACGCTGTTTTAAAGTTCTGGCGTGTGCGTGCCGCGTGATGGAATGCGCCCCAGTCTCTTGCATTGTAGAGGAAGGGTTATTGTACAATGTTCTAATCCTAACTACACGTACCGCCTTTACTTGCCTTGAACCTACATGAAACTAAGACAAGAGGACACGATGCAAATTCCGACAAAACAATAACTCGGCGTATTAGTACAACTATACTACGTACAATCTTTTAGACGCACCTGGTCCATTTGAAATCATTTTGCACTTAAATAATTTTTAAGCGAGATGCACAGAAAGAAAAAAACATTCACTGGCAGTATTTGCCGCTCGTGAAATATCATTCAAGGGTGTTTCTGCAAACACTGACCTACGCGTAACGTGAAGACAAGAAACGAACCGCGGACGCGACATTACAACGCGTTGGGGTTTCACCAAACGTCACGTGATATTGCACTTGAGTAAGGAGCGAGGTAGGACTTTTCAAAAGGCACTTTTAAAGTGAGCCCCCCCCCCCCATTCTTCTGGGGGTGTCGGGGACTCGGTGGAGCGCCCCCCCCCCCCTCCCCACCACCACCACCACTTTATTTCCTAAGTGTGCTGCTTATACGGTCTATGAAATGTAAGCTGACACTAATCTCAGATTTGATAGTACGCATCCGATTTCAGGTTTGCTAAAGGGTAATTTTACGATGAAAACACGGCTCAAATCTGGTTCCCTGGTGTATCTGCACGAGGCGTGTCGAGAATGTAGCTCTTGAACTGAGAAACTGGCACCGACATATTTTGGCAATCTCACGAGAACAGTGGTAGGTCTATTTAGATTTCAGAGATTTATACTTTTCAGACCAGGTTTAATCAATTCCCATTTCTGAAAAGTAATTCAAGTATTGATTACATTTTGTTTAGTTACTGAAGATTTGTTTTGCACATCCTTATGGTTTACATGTTGCGCACACAGAGCCTTGTCGTTGTGCAGATCCGTGGACGAATTTAAAACGTATGGGTCTTCACCCTCTTGCGCATGGCTAGATGGATAGCAACTCATAAGTCTGTGTCCAGATTAGCTAGCCAGGAAATGGCTTCACTTCATGTGCAGCGGATTGATTCAATGCCTTCATTGAACGCTGGAGAGTTTGCGATGAACCTTTAGTGTTCAAGAACGACCCAAACGTCGCGATCCCGTAAAGCAGCACACGGGGGGGGGGGGGGGGGGCGATGATGACGCGTTGGGTGGCTCCACCTGGGAGCGTGACGCCCTGGGGGCCTCACAGCCCCGCCGTGGCATTGGTGGCGGCCCACTCGGGGTACTTGTCCAGGCCGAACATGGAGAATCCCCACGTGTGGATGGCCAGCATCACCACAGCCATGCCGATAATGTTCACGCCCAGCCCGGCCTTGACCTGTCGGCATAAAAACAAAAAAAGTCACGCACACCGAGCCTCGTCCGACAGGAACTCTTCATTCTGTTGCCTTATTCATTTTTCCCTCAATTGTATCCCTATTGTGCTACTGGTGTCATGTCACCATGCTGTGTCATGAGGAAAAGTACCATCGCATGACAATGATAACACAACCTGTGACATGTCACGATACTAAAGTTCATGACACTTAAGTATCTGTTTGAATCTCTGGCATGGCGGTTCACCCCCTCGTGTTGGAGAATGGCCATGGCAGCAGGTTTCACAGAGAGATCCGGGCCCTCCTCGGGACGTCTTTTGATGTCACCTACTACTACCGACTCAATGGGACACCGAACTGTGGGTCATGTGCACAGATGCAGCCAAACACGTGCCTATTACATCCTATGAATAACATATATCCCTTCTGTATGGGATAGAGTGTTGCTTCCTTGCACGTGTAGGTTTTCTCTGGGTGATCCGGTTTCCTCCCACATGTATAAACATTCATTGGTTGAAAACATCTTAATATATAGAGGATCGCAGAACTTTATAATTATATCCAGCCACAGCAAACACGTTCATTTTCCACTCCTTTTGTCTACAAAAGTGAACTGACCAGTGGTTTAATGGCAAAGTGTTGAGTCATCTGTCACTGGATTGAAATTTACGATTGTTTATACGATTTATGCTTCCTGTATAAGCCGCTGTATTCGTGCCGAAGCCAATTCAATTTCACGTCGTTATTTTTGTTGGATGATGCATGTAAAATTTATGCTGCGGTATGAGAATCTGTAGGTTCCTGAGTGGTATGAGATACAATATATATTATTTAAAATTAGTATTGATTATTAAATGTAGTTTATGATTCATGGGCATAGGAATACATTTTAATCGATGAACCTTTACATCTATAATGTAGCTACGACATGTCAGTTTTGCTAACAGCTAATGACGCTGGATGTGAAACGTCGGACAAAATTGTCAAACGCCTGCTTTTTTTTCCAACATGCCTCCATTTTTGCCAAAAAGCCAAATGAAATGGGACATTTAGCCCGTGACGTGACAACTCGATTCGATTGGCTCTGTCACTGCGTTGTGGACGGATTATACAGTAAAAATAATTGACATTATACCTACACGACAATCTGAACCCAAAATAAAATACGGATCACCCCGCAGCCAAAGCAAGAGGAAGTATAGCCCTGGGTTAAGGCGCTACCTCTGGCCCCCATGACCTGGTCAGACCCCCCCCCCCCCGATACGACGCCCCCCTGCGGCCGTGTGCGTGCGTGTGCAAGCGCTGACGTACCATGTCGCGCACTCGCAGGTACCCGTAGCTGAAGGCGATGGCGTTGGGGGGGTTGGCGACGGGTAGCATCATCGCCAGGGAAGTGTTCAGCGTGGCGGGGACGGCCACGTACAGCGGGTTCACGTGCATATTCTCCGACTGGCATGGACAAACATAAAATATCGCCCCCGTCAAGTCTTTAACAGACTGTCTGGGGGGAGGGGGGTGTTGTGGGGAGTGCCGTTGGCGAGCACCTATGCTTGTGAAGAGCGACAGTAATTGTACCACGCCTGGCCGCCTTTGTCTCCCCAGTGGTGACTTTTATGCGCCGCGCCTTTTGAGATCGAGTTGGACGAGGGGGAACTCGGGACTGGTTCAAATTGTCGCTCGCCACTTGGTGGTGTCCGCGGTCGGGAGTCGAACTCGGGTAGCCGGGTTCGTAGTGCAGTGCACTCAATGCTGTGCCACTTGCTCTCTGCCTGAACATGTCGATACATTGTGACATTTTCATACGAATACCCTTTTGATACGATACACATTTCTCTTGTTTAAAAGCAGATTGCTGCTGGCCAGGTTGTGCTCCATTAAGAGCGCTTCCACTTAATTCTAAGAATCCCTAAACTTGGGTTGTTTGCGTGGCGAGTTCGACTAACGTAAGTGCTCCCATTCTCAGCGGCCATATGGAGGAATAAAATATCCTGCAGTGATTCATGCTTCGAGTAACAATCCAAATGGGCTTTTTTTCTCGTCTGCTTTGTGTACTGCCTTTTACAACTCGCCACACATTTGGTGTGGTTGATAAATCGAGCGGTGGCTCTGAACCCTGGGTGCCCGAGTTCGAGTCCTAGACACGGCTAGCACCAGTGGTCGGTGCAATCTGAACCGGTCTTAGGCTCGCCCCATCACCCACCTCCTACACCAAACTGCACTGATCAGCGTGGTGAACCTCCGTGAACCTATGTTTTTGAGGCAAGGGTTGGTGGATCGCGTAGAGATTTGTGAAGCACGCTCGGCTGTGAGGTGACCAAGGAGACGGCAGTACAGCAAGTGGGTTCCCTGACTCATCCGTGCAGATCTTTAAATGTTGCTTACTAGCACACGCGACACGAATGGAACTGTCCAGCCATTCCCAAGACCAAGGCCCTTCATCCGAAGGGGTCTCGAGCCTCTCGCTTTCCTCGACACGTACGAATTTCAGGATTTACATGTGACGTGGCCGTTGTTTCAAACCGTCGGCGGCAACTCAAAGCGCGTTACATCGCACCTCAACCGCTGCAACGCCCTGCCACAGGTATAGCTTAGGGGACTCCTGTTGGCAGCTGTCCGCGCGCGGCGCAAGGCATGATCGAAGCACCGGCCCGCAAACAGCGACATTGCTGCTGCGCATGTTTTCTTTGTTTGCCCAACCGAGTAATTTGCAAGGAAGCTTCTCAAATTTTGGCAAATTGCAAGCACAACATTGTTTAACACGTGGGCTTTCGCGACCAATATCCACAATACAAGTTTTTTTGGGTTAGATCGCGTAAATATATAAATGTGTCGCTAAACCCGCCACCACAGCCAACTAGTAAGGGTTGTCACATAAACAGAACATGCCAATTCGTTACTAGTACAACATACCGGTGTGTTGGAGAGTAAATCCACAACATTTACAATCCGAGTACGACGTTTCACCAGCAGTTACAAATCTGGATGTCGCCTGCTGATGCCTGTTGCAATTAGTGGTGAAACATCGTACTCAGATTGTAAATGTTGTGGCTTTGCTCCCCAACACCCCGGTGTGCTGTACTAGTGACGAATCGCCATGTTCTGTTTCCGGGACAAACCTTATTAATTGGCTGTGTCGGGTGGTGGCGGGTTTAGCGACATTTATATCTGCGTGATCCAACCCCCCCCCAAAAAAAAAAACCTGTTCTTGCACAGCATTGTTGTTGCGCGGCACCGGTCGCTTACCAGCGTGCACAGGATGGGCAGGAAGAGCGTGATGGTGGCGGGGTTGCTGGCCACCTCCGTCACGGAGGTCACCAGCAGGGAGGAGAGCAGCACCACGAGCCACGACGGCAGCAAGCCCAGGGGCTGCAGCTGAGAGCCCACCCAGAGGGATAGCCCCGACACCTGGTGGTGGTGGTGGTGGTAGGGACAGGAGGGAGATTGAGGTTGGCCCTCGCTTGTTTCACCTCGTCCTCGCACCCCCCTCCGCCACCCACCCCAACCAAGACGAGTTTGCTTCTTGTTGTACGGCTGATGATGTAGACGCAGAGCAGCAACTACGATTTCACGTTCAGGTGGTCAAGCGCAGACGGCCGCGTCACGAGTAGCGGAGTGGTGTGTCGTCGATGTACCACGGTCTCTGTTCTGGATGACCGCAGTCGCACACCACTACTACTGGAGAGTTGTTAAGTTCCCATTTGTGCATCAGGTATCCGCATCATCTGCCATCTCTGGAGGATGATGCAACAACGCGAGTTTGCTGACCTGCCCACACTGGACATCTGTGAACAAGAGCTCCGTAGCTCATCGGATTCCTTCTGCAGTCTAAATGAAGATTCTGAATCTGAACACCAGCTTTTGCTCACCGAGGGCCGAATGGGACTTTCAGATGCCATGAGTGGACAACCACGCATCAACACGTTCCGTTATCCAATAAGACAACGACACGCGTGTGTCAACTGAGTATGAAGAGGCCCCCGCAGTGTCAGGAGTGACTGAACGCGCCAAAGTTAGAAATACAGCGTTGCAAGATTGAAGATATCCCCATCTGGTAGTTGATGACGGCAGCGGATTGTTATCCATGATCACGTTTTTTTGGGTTAGCTCGCGTGAATGTAAATGTGTCGTACACCCACCTCCACCTGACAGCCAATTCGTAAGGTTCGCCAAGTGAACAAAACGTGGCGATGTTAATACTACTTCAGCACACCGGTGCATTTGAAACGTCGCACTCAATTGTAAACGTGTTGTGGCTTTGCTCTCCAGCCCACACACCGCTGGAGCTGAAGTAGTAACACATTGGCACGTTCTGTTCCACGTGACGAGCATCGCGACTTGGCTGTGTCGGGTGGACGGTGTACGACACGGTTACATTTTACGCGCGTCGTATGAAACCGAGTCCCGGGGCCCAGGTTTCCCCAACCTCAACACAGAAGGTTGGCGAACTGCATCACCGGCTGTCCAATCCGTCGGTTGTGACTGGGGAGCAGCAGCTGACAGTAGCGCTCGGCAGCCCGCCTTAAAATTCCTCTCTACCCCATGCTCAGCACTCAGGCGAGCGGAGTGCGATCGCGGGGCAGGTGAGGCTCCTACCTGGCAGCCTGCGGCGAGGGCGAAGCCGCCGCCCACAAGGATGACGATCTCCCACGGCATGCAGCCCTGGAAGTCCTTCCAGTTAATGAGCGCCGGGGAGCTGCCCCAGCTGTCCCTGGACTCCTCCGCGCGTTTTACCCCTAGGCGCCGCACGAGAGTTAGGGATTGAATAAGCGTACAGACAACAAACGGCGGCATCAGAGGGAGAGATGCGTTGCAGCGGTGGTTGGGAACGTCTGGTTTGATGGAGACGGAATGACTAAACAGTTTGATGCTGCTGATGATACTAACGAGCAGATCATGCAGCTGATGATAACATTGATGTCTTTGATGATGCTGGAGGACCATGATGCCACTGCTAATGATGCTGTCGCTGATGTTTGTTTTTTACATTGCTTCTGTTGATCGTAACAACGGCGATAATGTAATTGGCGATAATGTAAACGATGGTGATGTTGATGACGATATTGATACTTACATTGACAACAATGGTGTTGATAACAATTATGTTGATTATGACGATGACAACAATGCTGATGATGTCGATGGTGTTGACGACGACTTTGATGATGATGACAACGGCGATCATGACAACGGCGACCAAGACGATGATGTTGAAGGCAATGATGATGACAGTGACGATGGTGTTCGAACGTGTGGTCACCCCTACTCTGGGTCTTGGAGAGCCAGGGCAGTGGCGGCCTCTCCGACGGAACCACGAAGAGCAGGAAGCCCAGCAGCAGGGACACCGTGGCGTCCGTCTGGTAGCCCTTCCTGCTCGCGCGCACCATGGGGAGCGTGAGGTGCGCGTGCCAGCAGCAAAGACGAGAAGCAGACGCCTTTACCACCCGGCGCGTAACGACGCGTCGATTCACATCGGTGCTTGTGAACGCGATCAGCTCACGTGCTGCAAGTTACTTGGCGGATTAATACATCGCAGGGAACGTGACAGGTGGCGGCGGCAGCTTGGGGAGGCCTTCATCCAGCAGTGGATTGATAATGAGTAATGGTGATAATGGATCGGTTGAAGCCGGTAGATAATGATTCAACAATTCATGAACAAAATGTTAATATTTTGTTTAAAATAATGTTTATTTTAAAATGAATTATCTGGGCCATGCATGCCGAGCTGTGAGCATGGCACGTAAGTGATGCCCGTCCCTATATAAGCGAATGTTGGATTTTTCAAATATTTTGACCTGCCGGCCGCAAAATAAATATTCTGTATATATATAAACGCCCAGGAGTAAGAAAGAATAAGTTGTTCTCAGCAGCAAAATATTTCTTTGGGTTAGTCTACAGTTAGGGTTAGGAGAGGTTATTTTATGGATTGGGCTAGGCAATGCTGATGTTAGAAGTTAGGTTGGGGTGAGAGTGGCATGTTACTTTAAGTGCATTGTTGAGCAACTTTCACAAATACATTTGGACAGTGCTCTTAAAATCAAAGTTCGAGTTGAATAACTTCTCTGGGGTATTGCGGCAGCGGCGTGGTTAGAAAGCACACTGTGCTCCAAACCCTGGCCATCCGAGTTCAATTCCCAGCCACGGCTCGCATAGATGGACGAGTGACATCCAAACCAGTCGTAGGCCTCTCACGCCACCAACTTTCAACCCGTACCGAAACGGAGTGGTTGAAGCATGGTCAAACAACCCCCCATGATGACCGACATGGCGTGCATGGTGCGGGTGGAGAAAGAGGGCCTTCATCAAGCAGTGGACTGACAACGAGGCCGTGAAATGATTGCGCAATTCTCTTTGACGGTCGGCGCGGGCGGACGTACAGGAAGAAGGACGCCCATCCCGGGACGAATCCGGGGTCGCGCAGGAACCACAGCAGCACCATGAGCAGGAAGACGCTGGCCGTTACCACTTCTTGGTAGCTGCAACCCCAAACAGGCGAGGGGGCCGCACCGGTTAACGGAGGGTCCCCCATCCCCCGCCCCTCCACTCGTATGGAACACGCAGCGCTGGAATGTCCAAGGGCCTCATTCATTCAAACCCACGTTCTCCCCACCGAGCATCCAGTAGCGGGGCGGGGAGGGGAAGTTTGCAGAAACCCGTAGCAATTCGGCCGCTTTGTTTTTTTCCCGTCTCGATGCGAATTTTGGCCACGGAAGTGAACGGCGCCGTCCAATTTGTAAACGAGGCATTGGGCGTAGGTGGAAGCCACGTTAAGTAGGCAAGGCGTACGGTTAGGATTAGGGGTGGTGCTGGGGCTATCATCGGATTGGCCAGTGTACCAGTCGGAGGAAGGGCCACTAAAACCGTCTCAAATAGAATTTGCAGCGCGATTGGTCCACATGTGCTCCTTCGTATGCCATGCAATGGGTATTTTCACATTAACATCCCATGAACTTTCTAAGAGTTCGCAACACCACAATGAGACAAATCATTTTTTTTATTGCTAAGTATGGCCGGAAAAAACTAAAGTCTGTTTGAATTACACGTCTAGATGGAAGTACACGGCGCTAGCTGTTGGCACGAAGGCTACAGAGGGGATGTGTGGGAGAACGCAAAGTCCGTTGCAATTACGATCCGGCAAAACATCGTGCCACGCCGCATTGGCTTGGAGTTTAGCTAAATGCGAGTGAAAATCTGGAGGAGAGAGGGAGGAATGAAATAATGGTCCCTGGACCACAGCAGCAATTGGTACCACCTAAGGTAGCAAAACTGTCGCGATAACCCACTCATTTCAAATGGGTATCACATCATTCACTGTTAGCGGCTACAGCACGGAATTTGAACCACTGAAGTTATACCACCACGGATGGTACCGACGAGTAAAGCATGTGGCATGGGCTTGTGGACTATGAATGAGTCCAGGGGGCGGCACCTGTAGGTCATGTGACCTCACGCACCTGATGGGGCCCAGCTTCTCGTACTCCTGCCGCATGCGCCGCTCCGACATGCGCTCCTGGGTGCTCAGCGTGCCCGAGCACAGGCGACGCAGGTCCCAAATGCTGGCACACAGAGACAAAGACAAAGATCCCCCCGTATAGCCTTCACAGACTGTTGGGGCAAGTGCTGTTAGCGAGCACCTATGAAGGCCGGCACAGGACATGACAGTGGGTGGCCAGCACCACGCCCGACCGCCTTTGTCTCCCCAGTGGCGATGTTTACACACCGCACCAGGTACTCATTTGTGGCTGAGTCGACCTAAGGGGAAGCCCAGGACCGGTTCAGATAATCGTCACTGATGTTGGACGTGAGTGGGTTCCTTAGTGTGGCGCGCTAACCGCTACACTACCCCTCCCGCACACACGTACGTCGGGACACATACACGCTGTATGTATGAATGATGGTGAATTTCTCTCACACCTTACGTAGCCAACCTTGCTTATCAGACGTGTGGGGGAAGGACAACAAATTAAACACCAAAAAGCAGTTCTAAAGAAAATAAAAACTGGGATTGTTTTTTGGAGGAACTCGCCCCTGCCACAGCTCAAGTCCAACTCCAATGCTAAGCCTCTTACCCCCATCCCCCCTTGAAGGAGGAGAGAAGTGAATGCCATCCCGAGACCACTCGCCAAACTTAGTGCTGTGACCGCAGCAGCTACTTTGTTGGAGCTATTCTGAAAGTGACCCCGTGCTCCAGACGGAGCCCCCCCCCCCCGCCCCCCCGGGGCCGCATGCCTACCCCCTCCCTCCACCCCTTGCCCTGTGTATAAGCAGTGCCAGGCACAGGGCAAGCAATGTCGGTGGGATGTCGAGCACTGTGGAACGGATAATTAGCTAACGGATAGCAGGCTCTGAAAATATCACCGGTGGTCGAGAAAATGTCAGAGGGGTAGCCGAAGAGGGGAACGTGTCTCAGATGAGTTTAAAACGTAGTGGGCTTTTACGACCAATATTATGCGAGTTGTAATTACTGGTGAAACGTCGTACTCAAATTGTAAATAGTGGTTTTACTCTCCAACACACCAGTGTGCTTTCCGAGTAACACATTGGCATATGTTGTTTACATGACAAACCTTTCTAATTGGCTGTGTCGGATGGTGGCGGGTTTAACGACACACTTTTATTCACGCGATCTAACCAAACAACCTCTTAGGTGTCTAAGATAACGTCTGCTGTGAAGATGGAGCGGTGACATTAGCTCATGCAGATTGATGCATCGCAGGACCTTGAGAGACTGCGAAAGCTTGGGGAGACCCTCATCTAGCAGTGGAACGATCATGGCTGATGATGATAGGGATGATGGTGAAAATATCCCATGCTTGGCTGAGGGTAAACAAATTATAATTGAATGAGTGATGCCCTGTGTATAAAAGAAATAACTGTTGCTGACCAATCGGCATGGCTTTGGGAGTGCTATCCACTTGTCAGTGTGGATTTTCCTCGGACATTCTTGTCAAGAGGTAGGCAATGTTCCACTCTTGTTTGAGTGGGTGGGAGGACACTTTTAATTCTACTGCTCCATTCAAGAAAGCCTCGTTGGGTATCAGGATTAGGAGCATTTTTTTTTTGGGAGAACCCTGCATTGGGACATTTGGCCCAAGTTTTCTACGAGGGTCCTTCACCCTCCTCCTCCTTGCTCTCCTCCATCCATCCTCCTCCTCCGCCTCCTCACCGGAAGCCCAGGAAGAGCCAGGTGAGCCACAGCCAGGTGAAGATGAGCAGCAGCAGAGCCACGGGGAAGCTGAAGAGGAGCCACGAGCCGAAGTGGATGCACTCGCACGCCGGGTAGCGGCTGCACGCGCCGGGGCAGCGGGATGCACCGCACGTCGCTCAGCGTCATTGCAGCGGGGGGACTGGAGGTGGCTAAGCTTCCCCTCTGCCCATGCTGAAGGCTCAGCCCTCCCTTTTAAAGTTTCATAAACAGAAGAAGCAAAGCACAGCCCTGCAATTGCTCACTCGTGCCATTGCTGGCGGGAGGGCCTCCACTTGAGGTAGCTCAAGAGAGGCCACACAGAGGGTATCAGGCTGGCCAGCCGGCGTCTTGGAAGGGGTGGAAGTACCCACACGTTACCACGCCACACACGACCTGCCAATCAATTAACCGTGGCGTACCCGCTTGTTTTGCCGGGTGGGCAGGGATGGGGGAGATCGGATTGCAAATCCGCCGCGCTAACCATTGCACCACGGCAGCATGCCATACGTTTTAACTTCACGTGGTCTTTTCCAAATTAACTCTTCTCCAGCTACCCGGCCGCCACACAAGACGCCTGCGCCGAACTCACTTGCTGAACTGCTCGGCGAAGATGAGATTGGTGGAGGTGCCCGGAATGGTGCAGAGTCCCCCGATGGTGGAGGCGTAGGCGACGGCCAGGGTCAGGCATTTGCCCAGCGTCCTGTTCGTCTCGCCCTTGCCTGCCGACCCTCGCTTCCCCGCGAGCACCGTCCTCTCGCTGGCCGGGCTGTCGAGACCGCCGCGCCGCCCTTCCGCCTCCCCGTCGCTCGCGGCATCGTTTGCCGAAGCGGCGGCGCAGCCGTTGGGGACGCCGCGGCGTGCGACACGATCCTGTGGCGTGGCGGAAAGGCCGAAGGTCGCGACATCTCGGCACGACCCGTCCAGCGCCGTGATGACCTCCGTTGCCGACCCCGCGATGACCTCTTGCTGCAAATGCGAGGGGGGCGAGGGGGGCGAGGGGGGTGGGGTGGGTGGGTAGGGGGCAGGCGGCTGGCCGATAAGAGGCGGGGACATTACTCGCACCATGGGCTGGCAGTTCGAAAGGTCACCCATGGGTCACCTTGGGGCCACGGGAGGTTTGAAAAGACGTCCAGGATATGCCGAGAGAGTCGGCCATCTGAGCGCGCGAATGCCAATTTAAAGCATTAGACCAAACCGACAGCAGACCTGGAGTTCATTAAAATTGCAATTACAGCAGCCGTGTTGAAATTATACATTTTGATTTACAAAAAAAGCAAATTACAAAAATTACAATTGATTGCAATTCATTACGAATGACGCAACCACAATTGTAATTAATCCTTCATCAGATCAATAGCTTTAATGCACAGCGATGCGGTATTTGGCACATCTTAGCCTAATTGAATGTACTAATTAGTTCACTTTAAAACGTGCACTTTGTTAAAAGGAAATCTAATTTTACCACTGACATTACAAATTATGGAAGCTGGTTAGACATAACTCTAAACAGCGCTCCCCAAATTAATCACCAACATTGTTGTGATGGGAAATCATAATCAGAATGTTTATACTGGAGAAATCCGATGAGCTATAAAACTATTTTCACAGATGCCAAGTCGGGGCGGGTCAGAACCTTACAACAACAAACAGGACAAAAACACGATAGGAGTGCAAAGTATATGAAAGGTAAACAAATAATTTTACAAAATATATACACAAGTTAAATTAAACTCTTTTATCCGATCAGCAAGCAGGACCATGCTTGGAACTTTGACTTATGACCATATTATTCTCAACGCTCACAATCTCGTCAGATCTCAGACGATAAGCAGCGCTGAGGCCGGACCGTGCTCGGATGCCCGACCACCGCACGCAAAGTGTTAGAGGCTGCTGCGTGGCTATACTGTGGGCAGCAGAGAAAAACAAAATCTATCCTTATACTGTACTATTCTCCCACGTCTATGCGCCCCGCCTCTACCAACCCACACTGCCCAGCGTGGTAAAGTACGGTAAAACAACCACCCATGACTCCCATATGGCATGGGAAAGCCCTCATCCAACAGTAGATAGGGCTGTACGTGTACGTGACGGCGCTTGTCAACATCAAGACCAATAACCTTGGAGACGGATGTGTTCGGGTACTTCAGCAGGTGCATAGAATATTTCATAACATCGCAAACGCGAGAAATCAATCAACGCAACGGCCTAACTGTTGTGAAGTTTTAAAGTTCTGCAATGTAGAAAAAGGATAAATGGGTTTTGTGAAAGTGCGTCGACTGACCTGATGAAAGGCACTGATCTTGTCACCATCCTGAACACTGCACACAGGTGACACATCATCAACTCAGGAGGTGTTTTGTAATACCGGCACAAGCAGACGAAACTTCCGTTGCGTCAAATTAAGTGCCAAATGGAATTCCGGCGTTGGCCTCTGTACCTCTGGCTAACGGTCACCACCGTGGGCTCCTCCTTGAAGTCCACGGTCATCTCGTCGTCAGAATTGTCCACATCAAAGCTGGCGACGCCTGGCGCATGCAAGACGGGCAAATTTATGTTAGGGTTTTTTTTGTTATCAAGCAGAAGTAATTTTAAATAACGGGATCGCACCATGATGCCTCGACGTGAAAGTCTATGAGCAACGCAGCTTCATTGTTACGAATTAAAATGTTTCACATCCAAACTAAACGGAACTTGTTTGCTTCCGAGAGGCAGCTTTCGCAATTCATATTCGTGATTAAAGACGGACGACCGGAAACCAACGATAAAAGTTCAAACAGAACTTGTCGGGTTCAAGACCTGCCTCTCCTCCTCTGCCCTTGACATCTCTCATCTCTGAAGGGATTTAAATCGCACCTCACTTTAAGCACGCAAGCAAAATTCCCGCGACGTGCACGTACCGCTTTTCGTACGGCGTCCGCGACAGGACTGACAACTCCAAATCGATCTGCGCCCCCGGTCGCCCTCTTTGTGAGAAGCAATGCAGACGTCATCGCGGCGCCCCCCCCCCCCCCCCCCCACTCTTCCCACGGTTCCCCCGCACCTCACCGAAACTCAGCTGCGGGTCGGATGTTTGCCGCGCACCCTTCGGCAGCAGGGCGGTCGTCGAGTCATTGCCTCTCATGGCGGCGCCCTCGCTTGTGACGGCGGACGCGGTTTTGCCGCCACCGCCGCAGGTTGCCCCGTCCTCAGTGAGCTGCGTCAGCACGGCCTCGGCGATCGGCATGACTAGTGCCGAGGTGGACGTGTTGCTGAGCCACATGGAGAGGAAGGCGGTGCACACCATGAAGCCCAGCACCAGCCTGGGGGCAGTGGGCACAAGACGGGGACGGGTCACGCACGTCACTCATTACTGTACAAGCCTACGGGCCTCTGTATAAGCCTACGGTCCTCCGCGTAAGCCTACGGGCCTCCGTGTAAGCCTACGGGCCTCCGTGTAAGCCTACGGGCTTCCGTGTAAGCCTACGGGCCTCTGTGTAAGCCTACGGGCCTCCGTGTAAGCCTACGGGCCTCCGTGTAAGCCTACGGGCCTCCGTGTAAGCCTACGGGCCTCCGTGTAAGCCTACGGGCCTCCGTGTAAGCCTACGGTCCTCCGTGTAAGCCTATGGGACTCCGTGCAAGCCTACGGGCCTCCGTGTAAGTCTACGGGCCTCCGTGTAAGTCTAAGGGCGTCTGTGTATTTCTGCGAGTCTCATTGTAAGTCAATTTGTCGATATGTTAATTCACAGGTCTCTGTAATTTATCAATGGTACCAAAGTGCCACCGCCCCCTCCCCCACCCCCATTGAGAAGTTGATAGATCTGCCACTGGATGTGCCAGCGTGCCAGTGCACCGGCGTGCTGTCTGCGTGTGCCGCCGGGCCACCCCTCGAGGAGCAGGAGGGACAGGAACGTACAGGCTGGGCCGGGCGCCAGCAGCCGTCACCATGCGCAGCGCGATGCGGCGGTGCAGGCACCACTTCTCGATGGCGGCCGTGAGGCAGATGACGCCGAGCAGCAGGAGGGTGGTGTCCTTGAAGTACTCGGCCGCCACCTGGGCACGACGCCGCAGGAGTTGCGGTAATGTCACGCCAAGTCCAAAAAAAACACCGCAACATTGATACCCATGACATCGGCAGAGTATCAGCGTTCTGTTGCTGTAACTGTCTCCAATACACCGCATTGCAACAGTGATAATTGGTGACTACACTTGCTGATGAGTCCTAATGAGGACACAAAAACAGTCCACATTTGTCTATCACCACTTCACTGCGGCCCGATAGCAGTCATATTTTCTCATATGTTTTCCGGTGACCTAAGATAAGGGGACCACAATGCATTTCCTCAGGAAATGCTCATGGATTTTTTTTTGCATATGCATGCATGGCTATACTTTTAATGCATTGTTGCGTCTTGCGTGAAGCTTAGCTACATCAACGATAACGCTGGCGTGAGCTCGCCAATGTCACGACGGTGTCCCATCACCGCGACTGTCACCTCATCAGACATCACCGTCCCTCTCACATCGGGTGCTGCTACATCATCATCATAGCCCTTACACCAACAACTCTACTGCTGCCAAAATACCACCATCGAATTACCATCACCGTAATGAAAGTCGCATCACCATGATTCACCGCATCAGCGATATTGTTAACAAAAACGTATCCTCTAATCAACGGCGCAGTGTTCAGAGTGTGCGGCTCACCCTTCTGGCATCGATAAAAGGAATGCCGCTTTGCGGTGAGTGGTCACCTGTCATTGCCATGTGGTGCGACTCACTCCTGCCATTGGAATGTAGAGTTCCTACCATTGGTTCAGGGCTGTGAACAGGAGCTTACAAGCACCACGTGCTGGTTCGAGCAGGAAACCGCGTTTGATTATTGATGAGAATCGATGTTGATAACGATGATGAGTTGTTATGAATCTCAAGACTATCGCAATGATAATTGCCGATTACAAAACGCTACTGCGGGTGATGAAAAAACAGCTGAAAACGACGATCGGAGCAGTGATGTGACGGGTTAACTGGCGTCCCTCGCACAGGGCGCTGCTGCAAATCACCTGGCTGGAGCGCATGACACCCAGCAGCGGATAGAGCATGGCTGGGAGCAGTGCGGCGGCTCCGAGCGGCACTGCCTCGGACACCCACAGCGTGGCTGTGAGCAGCACCGTGTACGCGCATGCTGCCTCCTGCGTATGCACGTAGATACACGCACGCACACACACGCATGCACGCACACACACACATGCGCACACACGCACGCACACACATGCACGCACACATACACACGCACGCACACACACACGCATGAACAAAGATACAGATCCCCGCTCCATAGAGCTTTTAACAGACTGTCGGTGCAAGTGCTCTTAGGGAATACCCATTTAGGCTGGCACGGTACACCTGGGGTTGAGCGACCAGCATCACGCCCGGCCACCTTTGTCTCCCCAGTGCTGATATTTTTATGTCTACACACACCACGAGGTACTCGTTTAAGGCTGAGCCGACCTAGGGGGAGGCCCTGGACCAGTTTAGATATTCGTTACCAGTGTTGACTGCAAGCAGGAATCTTACCCGATTCTGAATTATATGTAGTGTTTGCAATGAGTTAGAGGGATTCATGTCAGTCAGTATCGTGCGTTTGAGGCCCTGAGAGCAGCAAATAACAATATGCCTCCTGACCTCTATTGATGCGGAGAGACTAGGGGTCACGTTGATGGAGTGGATGCAGCGTGGTGTAGATTTGAATCGGGCGTGATGGTGGAGGCGGCCGGGCGTGGTGCTGGCCACCCACCCCCTCGTGTGCCGTGCCGGCCTTCATAGGTGCTCGCTAACAGCACTTGCCCCTACAGTCTGTTAAGGCTATGCGGGGGATCTTTGTCTTTGGTGCACGCCAGTAAGTTTGCGCTCTGGAGGCGAGAGTGGGTGGATCGTGGAGAAATTTATGAGACTGCGAGGTGACCAGCAGACGCCAAAGCAGGAAATGGCTTTGTGAACCCACTCGTGTCGACCTTTATTACCCCCTCCCGACCCCACATTGAGACATGTGGGGGTGGGGGGGAGCAGGGGTGGGTGAAGGCACCTCCAATTAGCACAGTTAGCTACAAACGGTGCGGTTGGAAAGATGTTCAACATACATAGATACAAGGCATTGCTGGTCACACACACAAGACCCCACCTACATACACTGGGACAAGAGAACTCTGGATTAAAAACAACTCGGGGCATCTTTCGCTTACGCTAGATTCCTCCCGCGCTCGAAACTAAACAATACTCACCAAACATCCCCATTGCAAGGGGACTCGTGGGAAAAAAAAAACATCTTGAGGCTATCGGACATCAATCAGTGAAGTTACGACTATTCACACAACCGTCATCACAAAAGTTTTATCTCGCGAGAAATTAGGACTGCATGGAAGCAATATCAGGTGAAAAACGCAGCGACGGACGGAGAGAGATGGACAGACGGACCACTCCGCAAAGGAGATATCACGCTCCGCCTGCATAAAAGGCCGAGCAACGAGACGGAGAGAGAGTCTCATGGACCCCTGCGTGTCGGTGTGCGAGTGGAACCCATCCTGCCCTGTGCCCTGTGCTCAAGCGTATATGGAATTCTCGCACCCCTGCACCACTTTCTCGAATGCGTGTCTTGATCGGGCAGAGGTCAAGAAAGGCGAAAAAGGGTCGATACGTTGGGGGGGGGGGGCAGTGAGGGGGGGCAGTGGGGGGAAGGGGGCAGCAGTGGAGAGGAACAAGGGAACTCTGGCTCATAAACACGTCAAGAGACCCAGACTGAGTAACTGCGCAAGCCAGATTAAGCTGACGACGAGGGACACTGGTTTGCCACATTTTTTAAAAATATATATAAATTAAATCCTTTCGGCATGAACGCAAAATAAACATGTTTACTGCAACCTACTTGTAATATTAGGCCCATGATCTCTTGTTCATAAAGGTCCTGCGTTGGGATGTTTGGCCAATTCCATTAAGGATCGTTTTAGCGTCCTGTGGGAGTGACGTGGAGTTCCCGAAGCATTCGGGGGGGGGGGGGGTGACCCTCACCATTCTGTCACTGTTTTCACGATCGCTGTCTGTAATTCGTCCCAAACTCTCAAACCGTGCAGCGGTCGACTGTTCAATTAAGCTTACGAAACATAACCATGGAGCCTTTGTCATAGCCTGTGCACCGTAAAAACTGTACGAGTAGCAAATGCACTTATTAATTTATTTCATTACTATTTTAATGTTTGATTCGTTCCAACCCAAGTCTACAAAACCTGGCGTTCAATCCCTGGCAGTCTGCCAACCAGATATTAACCAAGTTCTGCAGTGACATTCAAGCCATTGCTGGACCGTCATCTATACCAGGCTATACAATTTGTTTTCTCAAAATGTTATGAATTACAATTCATGTCAAGGAGGTAGCTTCTTTCGTACGTTTTGGTAAAAAAAAAATGGGTTACTTAAACCCCGTGCCTTTAATCTCTTACGTAAATAGCATTGTGTTTGTGCAATTTTAGTTTTCAGGCACAGACAGGGCAGATTTATCTTGAGTTGGATTTATTGTTCATTTACAGAGTTAAAACTATAGTATAAGTTTGAGCAAGGCTAACCCGCAGGTTGTCCGAGACCCAGGGCTAACATTCGCTTCTGTAATCCGAGCAGCAAACCACGTGCATGCATCGCCTCCGCAATGTTTCACAGAGCAACCAATCGTCGTAATAGTTCCTGCCGCCAAACCGTTGAGGAATAAGGATCCGTGCACGGATACGTAATACATTTCCTCAAATATGTTTTTTAAACAGGTCATTTCATGTTCCCCCCACTCTTCAGAGGTCCAGTTGCTTTTTTTTCTGTCGACTTCCCCAGTTTCATACAGATTGCGCTATTGACATCGTGCCATGAGATAGAGTACCCATCCAGATTAAGTTTAGATTTTCAGAGCTGGAATTTAGGCGAATTAAGTTCAGAACTAAATGTAATTTGATGGTTTTTTTTTTATTGCAGTCGTTGGTGACCAGGCTCAAACTATCAATTCGATACCCAAGAAAACCTAGTCTCATCATAGCTCCGTCTATGTGAATATGTAAGTTGAAATTATTTTGTACGTGGCCAACCGTGCTCTATGCGAGTCTGTGTGTCTCTATATGAATCAGCGATGACCGATACGAGGCTATGAACTCTCCACACATGAGAACCTGGTTTCATTGCAGGTCGCTGAACCTGGAATCGAACCCAGGACTCAGCGGTGCCAAGTCAGCGACCTGACCTCTGTGTCACCCAGCCACAGCGCTCGGAGCAATTTGCTTTAAAAAAATACAACACTGAGCTCCTACATTCATAAAATTCATGATTAACTCATTTTTACGATGCAAAGTTGTATAAAACAAATCCTAAAGTGTTTTTGCCTCTGTAGATTCTCATCGTGTTGTGTTGCATTGTAAAGATTGCTCGTCATAAGGCCATCGGCCCTTTTATGGGCTCCATTTATCTGTGACATTTACCCTATGCCCTGTTTGTATTGACTTCAAACTCAAACTGCTGATAACAGCAAGAAGAAGAAAAACAACAAAAGCTGAAAAGTTGGCAAATATGCGTGGAGACACAGAGGTGCATGTGCCGGGAATTACACTTGAAGCAGAGAACACAACTTTAGAGATATCGGATTGACTGTAAAGAAAAGTGAGTTCGGGCAGGATGCCTGGTTAAAAGGGTTGATGGCCAATGGTCAAGACAGACATCATATTGTACGCGTGCATGTTGAACTTCTTTCGCACCGTACGTAGCAAACCGTGCTAATCGGAGGTGCGGAGATTGGCAACCAACGGAGGGAGAATGTCCACCACGGAGAAGATGGAGTGATACAATCGGCTCGTGTGCAGGAGCTAGATGGATTGTTGCATCAGGCGAGGGATTGGGGAGGCAATAATCCAGCAGAAGTTATATCGTGGCTGATGGCAATGATTGATGATGATGATGATGGAAACAGCCCTAGGAGATTAAGATCTCAGACACTTTCAATTTGGGTTCCTAGGAGTCATTCTGGTTGATTACTTACAAAAAAACACAATAACAATTCAATAGCAAACACTACCCGGAGCTTGCAGAACCTACCTAAATACACTTGCATGAGACACGGCGCGCTCAAGAGTACATTTCTCCATCCAATTTGGTGGTGCAATACTTTATTCCACGTCTTGGCCCAGGGTGATTGAACGATGCTCGCCACTCGCTTCACTCAGAAGCAATAACCTGCTGCATCGGTCTTCCCAACAACATCGCTTTTAAAGAGCCAGTGCCAGCCGATCACAGATATGTGTAAAGAGCTCATTAATAACTCGCGAGCGAGTGAGAGTGGGCGACTTGCATGAGATGGCCACAGGACATTCATGACTTAGCCACCAAGTGTCCAGACAGTTAGGTTATCACCATCAATCAAAAGCAGCAGCAGCCATTGTCTATGAGGCAGATATTCAGAAGATATGAGAAAGACTTATTCACAACTGACATTTACAAGAAGAGAGGAAGGATGAGCGATGTCGGAGGTGTAATTAGATGCGTCATATAAGAGACAATCGGCCATGATCTATCCACTGCTGGGAGATAGCCTCCCCACACCGTCGCCACTATACAGAGCAGTGTTCTACGACTATTAAAAATACTCCATGACGGTGAATGGTTTGTCTGCACGTGTATGTGCGCCTGTGTGTCCGTGTGTTGTCCTATCAGTGAGAGTCTTTGATAGATCAGCGAGGTTGCGTTGGCTGTGGTGCTTGCAGTGCGTGACAATGCACTTACGGGGGAACAGACTTTTTAACCCACGCTGGGATGGTGGTGGCGCATTCAGCTTCGTGTGCGTGTCACACCACTGTGGCTGTGCCATGCAGCTGGTAGGCTGGAGAATGTGTCACGTGATTACTCGTAGCCACGGCCATGGTGAGAGGTATATTGGATGTAAGGGGGCTAAGGAGCGGAAATGTTTTCTGGGTCACCGACCTGGACAGACCCAGCTGAAACGAATCCTTCCCGGCCTACGCTCCCGCGCCCGCTGTGGCTGGAGTGCAGTGGAGGAATACGCGGCCATCATTCGGCGAGTTCTCTACTTTACCTTGCTCCTCCACAACAGCGGTAGAGGCAGCAGCAAGAGCGGGGCGAGCGTGGCGATCAGCAGCCGCCGACCGGACCAGAGCTGTCGCCACATGATTCACGCCGCCCAACACGTGACCATGCCCCGTTGACCTGCAAAGACAAAGATCCCCCCCGTATGAAATTTTGATTTAAAGCTTTCGTGACTGCAGGTATTCATATTCTTGGTTCTTTCGGTAAAGTCACGTGGGAGACGTCCGCCAGTCCAAATGTTATGTTGTGTGCACACGCGGCGTTCACGCGCACAAAGCCACGCGTACACACACACACACACACGGCCTCCATCCAGTCTCTCTGACACGCACGCACGCGCACGCACACATACACAAACCCTTCACACACACACACAACCATCACACACACACACAACCACAACAACAACCGCCATTCGCCACTAAGTGGCGGTGACGTCACCACGACGCTTGTGCCAGGCTATGTGCACCCTGAGGCCACGTGAAGTGTCGAACGCCCGCTGGCAGGAGGTCACGGGGCAGACCCAGGTGCCACGGGTCGACTGACTGAGATGACTGGCTGATGCACCACCTGTGCCCCCTACTGTGCCAACCTGCTGTGCTTTAGCCACCCGGCGCTCCGCTCGCTGTTGTGAGCGTCGCTCCTCCGCCCTCCGTTGTTGTTGGAGGGCGACTGCCTCCAACTGCCCAGTAACATCCTTCACGAGCCTCCTCCACAGAGGCCGATCTTGACACCGCTGGTACCAGTCATCGGCAAGTCCACTCAGCTCCACGTCCTCCTGTACCACATCACTCCATCTCTTCTCTAGCCCGTGCCGCGCCCGCTTAGCCCCCTCAATCCGGCCAAACAAAAGCTGTTTCAGCATGCGGTGGCTGGGGATGCGGGCTACATGACCCAGCCATCGCAGCCTTGCCTGCCGGAGGAGCTCACCGATGGGACCCTGCCCAGATCTTTCAAGGATTTGTGAGCTCCTCACACAATCCAGTCTGGTTAAACCCAGGATGGATCGTAGGCAGGTCAGCCTAAATGTTTCTAACCGGCGAAGATGTTCCATTAGGGGGGTCCACGTTTCGCAAGCGTAGAGAAGGGAGGGAATGACCGTGGCCGAGAAGACCTGAAGCTTAGTGCGGAGCGACAGACCAGGTAGCTTCCACACAGCGTTACGCAACCGATGAAAAGATATTGCCGCTCGACTGATTCGGAGTGAGACCTCTGCTGTTAAACTGGAGCCAGTCATAAGCACACTGCCCAGGTATGGGAAACTCTCCACTCTCTCCACAGCTGCCCCATCACCGATTGGGAGTTGTGGGGGTGGAGTGTCCGATGGTACAAAATACCCAGGCAGGTGCTTAGTTTTGGTGGGGCTGATGGTAAGGCCCCACCTCTTAGTGGCACGCTCCAGTCTCAGCAGCAGCGTCTCCAACTCCTCCTCTGACTGAGCAGCTATTACCAAGTCATCAGCATACATAACGTGGTTGAGCAATAGGGAGCCATCCCTTGACCGCACCCGGGCATCGATTAGCCTCCCATTATATCTGTACCATATGGAGATTCCCCCGGTACAGCTATTGAAGGCTTCACGAACTACGTGGTCAAAATAGATGTTAAATAATGTGGGAGCCAGAGGACATCCCTGTCGCACCCCAAGGTGTACAGGGAATGGCTCTGACTCCCGGCCACGTAGTTTTACCCGGGCCCGCTCACCATCATGAAGGTCCTTAATGATCGTGAGCAGAGGGTCAGGTACTCCAAAAGCACGAAGAACGAGCCAGAGCCCAGGCCTACTGATGGTATCATAGGCCTTGACCAGGTCAATAAAGCAGAGATGTAGGTCTTGTTGGAATTCCCTACACCTCTGCTGTAGCAGACGGACAGAAAATATGGCATCTGTGCAGGACCGCCCTTTCCTGAAACCGCATTGGGGCTCCGCAAGCCTCTCCTCAGCGTGCCTGGCAAGGCGATGCTGAATAATCCTTGCCAGGACCTTTCCCGGCACACTGAGGAGTGAGATGCCCCTGTAGTTGTTACAGTCTGTGCGGTCCCCCTTCTTAAAAAGGGGGACCACCAGGGCATCCTTCCAATCCTGCGGAACCCGTCCAGTGGTCCAGGCTGTTGTTATGATGTCATATAGGGCAGTCTGTGCACAAACGCCACCCTCCCTCAGCATTTCGCTTGGGAGATCATCTCTGCCCGCTGCCTTTCCTGGTCTCAGACTCCGGATCGCCTTCAATACTTCCTCAGCAGATGGCACCTCAGCCAGCCACTCACAGGGGGTGACTTCATCCAATATTTGAGGCACCGCAGCCTCAGCAGGGTCATCCTCACTTTGTGCCACGATGTTTTCCTGGCTGAGGGATTTTCCCTCCCCCAGGACCTCACAGAAATGCTCAGCAAATCTGCGAACCTGTTCCTGGGGGTCGGAAATTGGATCACCGTTTTTTCCCCTAATGATGGTAATAGGTGTGGCGCTGCAGGTTACTTTTTTGATGGAGTTAAATAGAGATTTGTGATCACGGGCCACTGAGGCAGACTCTATCTCCTCAGCAACCCGCGACCACCACCCATCCTTGCAGCGCCTCACGGCTCTCCGAACCTCCGAGCGAAGGCTGCGGTAAGCCTCCTCATTCTCTGACGTGGGATTCTGTAGCCGATGACAGTGGGCCTGTCGCTTTTTCTCAACCATCCTGAACAACTCCTCTGTCATCCAGGGTGTCTGGGGAGGTCTGGACCGCGTACCCAAAGCAGCCATTGCAGCTGCATGAGTCACAGTCCTAAACCTCGCCCATTTACCCTCGACATCAGGAGGAGTCGGGGACGATGCCAATCCCAGCCGCAAGCGATGATGAAATTCTCGCTTGCAACTTTCATCAGATAACTGAGACCAGGCCACTTTAGGTTGGAATGGGGTCCTGGGTGTACACCCACCACCGGAGTGGAAGAATGGCAGGCGCATCTTACAGATGACTAGTCGATGGTCAGAGGGCAGATCAGCTCCACGGTAGGTCCTGGTGTCAAGGACATGGGCTCGCATTCGCTGGTCCGTCACTATGTAGTCCAGCAGATGTTCTTGCTTGGACCCGGCATGCATCCATGATGTTGTGTGGATGCGCCGATGCCGGAACAGCGTGTTGGTAATTACAAGCCCATGGGCTGCACAAAAATCTAGCAGCCTCCTACCGTTGTTATTGAGCTGATCTGGCCCATGCCCTCCAATCACTCCAGACCAGGTGCCAGTATCATGACCAACTCGGGCATTGAAGTCACCCAACATGATGACTCTATCCCGAGGGGCCACTTTAGCCAGCACCTGTGACAGGAGGTCATAGAAGGCATCTGACTCATCGGCTTTGCCTGCATCCCTCCACGGATGTTCATCTTCGGTGGGGGCATAAGTAACCACGACCACCATTCCTCGCCTCCGGTTGATGGGAAGGCGAGCCCAAAGTAGCCTGGGGCTTACAGCTTCCCACACCTCACCGCCACGCTCCCACGCCCCCTTCATTCTTTTGTTCAAAAGAAGACCCACACCCTGTTGTTTGGCAGTCTGCTGCCCCGAGTAGAGGACTGTCCACCCCTCATGGTGGCAGGAGCCAGAGCCGGTCCACCGGACCTCCTGAATGCCGCATAGATCCAGGCGGTACCGGTCCAGCTCCCGACAGAGGAGTGGCAGCCTCTCCTCTGCAGTGAGCGTTCGAACATTCCACGTGGCCACCCGTAGTGGCTTTTCGTTGTTTCTGGAGTAGCCCCGAGGGTAGGTATTCAATCTCCTGGCTCCGCCAATTGGGGTTTGGCCAGGAGACGTCATAGACGCCTGGCCCCCCGGGGCCTCCGGCACAAGCTTAGTTGTTACATATTTCAGTTTAATTCGTGGTTTTCTGGTAATTAATTGAAGGTGGAGGGGTTACCAGCCCCTCGCACCCGTCCAGAGCCCCCGTTTAGCCCCTGTGGTGGACACATATGCCATGAGGGGAGGAGCCAATCAAAATTGGAACTCCCCCCACAGCGCTGTCCACGACAGAGTTGCCCGTCCGGCACCGCGAGGAGGTAGGGGGTTGTTTTGCCGGACACACAACCATCACACACACACACACACAACCATCACACACACACAACCATCACACACACACAAACCATCAACAACAACCGCCATTCGCCACTAAGTGGCGGTGACGTCACCACGACGCTTGTGCCAGGCTATGTGCACCCTGAGGCCACGTGAAGTGTCGAACGCCCGCTGGCAGGAGGTCACGGGGCAGACCCAGGTGCCACGGTCGACTGACTGAGATGACTGGCTGATGCACCACCTGTGCCCCCTACTGTGCCAACCTGCTGTGCTTTAGCCACCCGGCGCTCCGCTCGTTGTTCTGAGCGTCGCTCCTCCGCCCTCCGTTGTTGTTGGAGGGCGACTGCCTCCAACTGCCCAGTAGCATCCTTCACGAGCCTCCTCCACAGAGGCCGATCTTGACACCGCTGGTACCAGTCATCGGCAAGTCCAATCAGCTCCACGTCCTCCTGTACCACATCACTCCATCTCTTCTCTAGCCCGTGCCGCGCCCGCTTAGCCCCCTCAATCCGGCCAAACAAAAGCTGTTTCGGCATGCGGTGGCTGTGCATGCGGGCTACATGACCCAGCCATCGCAGCCTTGCCTGCCGGAGGAGCTCACCGATGGGACCCTGCCCAGATCTTTCAAGGATTTGTGAGCTCCTCACACAATCCAGTCTGGTTAAATCCAGGATGGATCGTAGGCAGGCCAGCCTAAATGTTTCTAACCGGCGAAGATGTTCCATTAGGGGGGTCCACGTTTCGCAAGCGTAGAGAAGGGAGGGAATGATCGTGGCCGAGAAGACCTGAAGTTTAGTGCGGAGCGACAGACCAGGTAGCTTCCACACAGCGTTACGCAACCGATGAAAAGATATTGCCGCTCGACTGATTCGGAGTGAGACCTCTGCTGTTAAACTGGAGCCAGTCATAAGCACACTTCCCAGGTATGGGAAACTCTCCACTCTCTCCACAACTGCCCCATCACCGATTGGGAGTTGTGGGGGTGGAGTGTCCGATGGTACAAAATACCCAGGCAGGTGCTTAGTTTTGGTGGGGCTGATGGTAAGGCCCCATCTCT